TCATTCTCATCAGCTACATCACTGCTAAGCCTAAAATGGTCCTCTCCTATTCCAGCTGTCTAAACTATTTAATGGGTCTTCCTATTATTTCAATTTTCCCCCTATATGATATGGAATTTAATTTTCAGAGGCTTAAAATAGTAACCACAATGAATATTTTTTTCCCCAGCTGATACCGTGGGAATTTTCATGTGGGGCTCTGATTAATGCTGATAAAGACAAACCTCAGATAAGCGTTACAATTAATAAACTCTTCTTTAGGATAGAAAGTAACTGTACTGTGAATTTCAAAAATGTGTGTTGCATCTGCTGTAATTATTGTCTTTTGGAACCCAGCAATGTCTGCAGGATAGGATTCTGATTTAACAAGGAGTTATCGCACGAAGGTTGCTATGGCACCTTTCTCACATGCTGCAATTGTGACTGGTTTTTAATGATGAGAGAAGTCCGTCTGATTATCCCAATTAACTCAATAGCAACAGCATTAAAGAAAATCAAATACACAAGTGTTCCTTTCTGAGACTATAAAATGGTGGTTAAGGAAAGATCAGTTTATGTTGCCTTTTGCAGTCTGTTGCTATTTCTGCATTAAAGGGAACATGAACTAACTAAAGCAAGATTGCAAAAACACTGCCATCCTCAAAACTGGTAGCCTTTAGGGCCACAGCAGGATTTAATGGTGCTTGAGACCATCCATGGTAGAGAGACAACACTGACCCTCCCACAACTAGTCTTTGTATCTCTGTCCTTACATTGAGGGTCAAGTCTTCCAAAGCAGGGTTGATAACCAGCACTTTTCTGATGCTGCATCCCAGCTGTATCTCCTGACTGGATGGATTATACACAGATCTGTGTATTTGCACCTGAAAATGCAGATGCAGATACTGGAGTGTGTGGGCGCCTGTGCTGGTTCAGATGAGTCAGGGCTGTCTTACTGACAGTGTTACTGTCCTGGCATTTGTAGAGCATAAGAATGATGGGTTTGTTCATAACTTCTGGGCTTTGACAGTGTTCCTTGGTGATGCCAAATAGAAACCAGCCAGATGAATGTCATCACTATGAAGCATTTCTCACACAGAGAACTATGGGCTTGAGTAGGTCCTTTATATGCTGCTGTGTGTCAGCCAGGCAAGGGACCCTGTGTGATCTATAAAGCCATCTTTAAATATGCTGCTGCAGTAATTGCACAGGTATTTTTGCGCGTGGCTCTAAACTGTCCAAAAAGTCAAGAAATATACTCAGGAGACTGGAAATTCAGTTTGCTTAGAAAATGTTCCACAAAGTGGGTTAGCTGCTTTAGGAAACACATTGCAGGGGTAGGCTTTGGGTTTGGAAACTTTGGTTGGTTGGTTGGTTTTTTGGTGCTATTCTGGCATTCAAGGTCTTCATTGAACAATGTGGAAGTTTCATTTCTGATGAATGGGAGCAGATTTTGGAACCTGTGTAATTTTCTGGTGTTACAGGAGACCTTGTTTCATATTACAGCTTCATACTACTGAACCAGATACTCTGACTTTGAATTTCCTACTGGAAACAGAGTCCTGGATTTGTGCCCTGGAGTCCTTTTTCTAGTTAGCCTAACTTAGAAAGATGAGTTATCATGTGCCTAAACCTGTCCTTGCCCTGGATACTTGAGACCTTTCTTACCTGGTTTAGTGAACACATGCTCAAGCGCCTCCACCAAGACAGGGGAAGAGGGAGGTTTGTGTGACTTTGGGCAACTGATTGACTGCAGTGAGCTTTGCCCCCTTACTGTATTCCTTACTGGTTACATACACATCAGTGTGAGAATTGTGGATAAAATGTATTTGCCGTGCAGGGCGTAGCTAGTTTATTTCATCACTAGTTTATTTATTGTTATTAGTGGATTTCCTGGATTCTTGAAGGGGTGAGGGGGTGGTGTGGTTTGTTTTCCATATAACTATAAAGTAGCTGCTAATAATCAGCATGTAACTCACATTCTATTTAAATTTATTAATAAGATGTCATATTAAATTGTTGACTTAAGCAGGCACTATATAATGGATATAGTCACTGTACCTTGTTAGCATTTCCACAGCTCATTTAGCCCCAATAAAAAGAAACCATCTTTCCAGAATCCTAATGCACTTTGTTGCTCATCATTATCACTCCAACATCACTTAATCTTGCTAATGTTTTAGAGCTGCATAATAGAATTATAAGGCAATTGATAGCTCAATCAGCCAGTGGATGGCTTGAACTTTGCACAAGATGTGGACAAAAACTTATTAAAATGAGCTTTATTAAAGGTGTTTTGCTACCATTCTCAGTAACAAAGGTTTTGAGTTACTTCTGAGGGCCTTGGAATAGTTTCAGGAGGGCCACTGGGCAGAGAAAAATAAAGCAATGTTATACCCTCTCATCAGCATTTGCAAGGTTTGCTGTGCAGTCAACAGCCTATCCTAAAACTGTCAATACAAATCTACAGTACTGCTGTAAATTCACTGCAGAGATTAACAAGCATTTCTTTCAAAGTGTCTCACTTAGTTATCTAGTATGTATAATAATCCTTGACACAGTGATGTCTCCTGAGCATACCACTCAAGAGAGACTGAATGTTATTAGTGAAACACCATAACAAGCAGAATGAGCAAAGCATCTAAAAGATAAAAAGCATCACCATATCGATATCCGTTTTACAGCATCTCACCATAGATGCATAAGCAAAGACATCTACTTAAAATAGAGGCTATTTATTAAGGGAAAATGATGAATTTTGGGGCTCAGTGAGTGTTCACAGGTCAGAATTCTCCAAGAGGTTTTCTCAGTTTTAAAAAAAAAAAAAAAAAGAGGCAGAAAATGAAAACTAGTTCCCATGTGTCATGTCACTGTTACTATTTACTTTAACATCTGTTTTCCAGAAATTTTTGACAGTAGTTGTTTCCAAAGGCAAACTGATGACTAGAAAATTAGACAGTGTCTCTTAAGCAGCATTTTTCATTAGCTATTTTAATTTGTAAGCTTTAATTAGAGTCAAAGTATTTGCCATAGTACCTGGGGCTTAGTTTCGTAAAGAAAATAAACATTGTTTTAGTTTTATTAAGCACAACTCTAAAGTTACAGTCAGTTCTTCCATGGTCTCCAATGGGCTAATCCGATGGGCTCCGATGGCTCCGATCAAGTTCCACTGAAGGTGATAGAGCTTAACACATGTAGTAAATGCAGTATTTCTTGAACACTTTGTAGACTAGAGCTCAAGGATACTCTAATGTGGTCATGTACTGCTTTATAACAGAATCCTTTATAAAAGAAACCACTGAAATCACCTTACAACCAAGTTTCTGTCCAGTCATTGGATAGGATCTCCTTTCTTCCCACCAGCCTTCACCTAGATAAAGAAGAGATAACTCTGAGGACTCCTTGTCCCTGTGAAGGACCCCATGTTCAGAGGGTAGTTTTTGCCACGGTAGTTTTCCCCAACACTTTCCTAGGCATAAGTTACTCATAGCAGTGCTTACTGGAGCCTGAGATTCTTGTGGAAACAGTGTCTTTCCAAAGTGTTTTTTCAAGTGGATTATCTCAGTGCGGTGGTTGGCATCGTGTGGCAGAACAATTGAAGTAGTCAGAAGAGCAGAAGGCTTTAAAGACTGGCTGAGGAAGGAAGGACCCAGGGGACTGTCAAAAGTCAGTGAAGAAATCCTCTCTGCCACAGCTTGTCACCCTCATAGAAAGGCTGGTAAGAGGTCAGGAGAAATCGGCCGAGGTCTGCACCCCAGCTCTCCTCAGACCAGCCCATCACAGCTCTTCTTCATCAGCCAGCACACTGCAGCTGGCCTGCAGGAACACGCAGGTGGAGCAATCCTGCTGCTCCGGGGGAGGGCTGGTGGCCAGAGGCAGGAGAAGGATGTGGACTGTCTCTCTGTTTTAAGCCACTACCGCAAGGAGCACATATCAGCCAGGACACTGCTGTGGACACCAATAAATACACTTTTCTCCCTCCCTTCCCTATGTAACTGCAGACAAGGACAAGTCTATGGAACTTAAAATGGACTGGTCATTTTCTTTCTTACCCTTTTGAGAAAGAAAAGCATTTAACACACATTTTGTTACTATACTTTCTCACAAAGGGCTAAAACCTGAAGTCTTATTTGTTTGTGTTATCCCTCTGCTATCATTCATAGATGCGAGGGCTGCAGGACTTTGTCCTAAAGCTCTTAAATTATGCCTACCTCTTGCAGGCAATTTTGTTGAGGAAGACATGGTGATGGGAATGAGGAGCTTGTTTAACAGTTACTTAATTAAGGTATTGCCAGTCCTCCTCTGTCAAACATCCTTGTACGCAATGCTTTAGTTAAGCCTGAGCTTCCCTGGAAGACTGTGCTGTAAACTGGAACAGGGTATTGATCAGCAATAACAAGAAGGAGGTGTATTTATCATTCCCTTCAGTTGCCTGATCCTGTCCCTAGCATGGCCTCCGCAAACTCTCGTGCCACATAAAGCACACAGAGATGGAGACACATGTACAGGAATGGGCCAGGCAGGCAGTGGGGAGCAGCTGCGGAGGTGGTACACATGGAGTGATGCAAGTACACCAGCAAGGGAAGGAAGAGGGTGGCCATAAGTGCAGTATCAGTCAGGAGCTTGTCTGCTGCTCTTCACAGCTGTTGCTGTGTTCAAAGCCCTGTTTATGGGCAAAGAGGAAGCATACCTAATATATAAGCAGAGCCAAGAATTTATTGTCAGTATTTTTGTAATCTTATGATCTAGTCATTATTAGCTCAAATCTAATTGTTACAGAAAAAGAGAAGAATAATGCAGTTAAAGTTGTTCTACACGCACCTCTTAGTTTTGTAACTTAGTGTTGAACTTGCAGTTCCCATCAGATTCCCAAGCAGACTGAAAGCAATGCCATGAAATTCAGAGAAAGGTAAATGGAGGGGAACTGTGATTCATCACACATCTATGAGTCAGTTTAATCACAGAAGATATGCTCCCTTTTTATTTTTAACACAGCTCTGCTTTTTCTATTGTGTTCACAGGGGAGACCAGAGTTTTCAGAAGTAGTCACAAAATTAGAAGAATGTCTGTGCAATATTGAGGTAAGGACCTTATTTCCACTGCAGAGTGTCTGTGCGTGTGCTGCGTGGTCGGGAGTACAAGTGGAGAGAGCAGCAGCATCTGAGGGAAGTGGTGGCTTTGGAGCCTGCAAGCTGCTTGAGCTGCTTCATCCTATTGCTAGCCAACACATTGTATTTTTAAGGCACATTGTCTGTAGTGGTTTATATGGGTGCCAGGAGGAGGCAGGGATCAGATATTGCTGTGAGTGTCAGGAGCTACTCAGAGAGGTACACTGAAGAGAGTGGGTGACCAGCGCTGGGGGGATGCACTTCACAGCAGTCCTGGGCAGAATTTTTTACTCCCATTCATCCCATTCAAGACTGCTTGGTTTAAAAAGAAGAAAAGACAAACTGGCCAAGACCACTGGGAGAAAGGTAAAAAGAGAAAACATAAGAAGGATAAATACAAAGGCAATTCCTGTTTTAGACTGTGGCTGTGACACAGGTGGATGTATCAGCCTTCAGCCTGGTGTAAGATAAGTGGTCAAACAGAAAGTAAATGATTCAGGGCTGCAATTCCTGAAATTACATTTTCTCTGTGTGTTTGTGTGCATGTGCATGTGCATCCTTTTAAAACGGATCGCTGCTCTTGAGCTTAAGGGTCAGAAAAGACACCCATAATCTATTACATTTCTTCATGCTCTGACTGCAGCTGGTTGCTTTATGCATAGGTGGAAGCTTTTAAGTGTAAAAAAAAAAAAAAAAAAAGTGAAGCACTATATCACAGGAAACTGTGTCATCTCATGGGAGACCTGACTTCTGTGATACATAGGCAGCAGTGCATGCAGGAAGAAATCTGGGGCAAGAACTTACATACAAAAAGAAAAAATAAAAGCATTGTTTAGCTAGGGAGTTAGACCTAAGCTCCACTGTGTCCAGGGCAAAGCCTTGTTTGAGAGGAGTTCTAAGGACAAGATCTCTAGTAAGTTAAGTACTGCAGGCAATGAAGGATGAAGTGGAGAGTTTTCTCGCTCCACCTCCCTCTATTTCCTCTCTTTTTTTCTTCTCCTCTCTCAGCAAATAATTTCTGCTCCTTTTAAGTATCTCTGAAACCAGGAGTGGCAGGGGCCTTTGTGCCAGCAATTCTAGGTCCCTGCTGCTGCAGGTACCTGTGTTGTATGGTTGGTCTGTATGTACAAACACATGTATTGATGTGCTAGCCCTGCATTTACATGGCCCGGTCAGTCTGAATTCCTGTCCTGGGACACTCAGACAGGACTGGTGTGATCAGGCAGCACTGCCACCTTTCTAGGGGAGATGGGAAAGTCTCAGCTGGTGGCTCCTACCGGGGAGGCAGTGATATCTCCCAGCTGCACAGTGGGTGCTCGCAAACCAAACAACTCATGGCTGAACTAAAGCATATCTTCTGGAAAGTAATCCAATCCCAGCTTGAAAACCCCAGGCAATGGTGAATTGACCACTTTATTTGGCAGGCAGCATGCCGTTCCCCTCAGCTGATCAAAGTCATGAGGCACTGCTTTTTTCAGCCAAACTACAAAGGAGATGTGGGACACACAACTTAAGAGAAAGAGCTGAGGAAAGACTTGTAAATATGTAATAGGAGTACCTTTTTTTTTTTTTTTTAAATCCAGTTAATGTCTCCAGCTTCCAGCAACAGCAGTGGTTCTCTGTCTCCCTCCTCATCTTCGGACTGTCTCGTTGCACGAGGAGGTCCTGGCCGTAGTCACGTTGCAGCGCTACGTAGTCGGTTTGAATTGGAATATGCCTTGAATGCACGAGCTTATGCTGTCTGGTCACAGAGGTACGTACCAGTCATTCCAGGGCCGAGGAGAGCACTTACTCTGAAACGGATACAGAGTCCTCCCCAAGACTGTGTGGCGTTCATGCCTAAAATGGGAGTTCCATGTAGCAGGGATTGTGCCTGACTAGGGGATGTGGCTGCGTGGGAAGCCAGCAGTAGAAACACACCCTGGGGCTGATCCACTGCCAGGACCAACCGGGGAAAGCCCTTCTGCAGTCTTGTCTTCTCCTGTAACTGCTGTAGCACAGGGTGTTTGGGTTATCTGAATGCTGTAGAAGCCATCCTGTTGCCAAGACAACAGCCAAGCATTTGCATTTTTCACTATGAGTAACATAAAAATAGTAGAAAATCAAGTCCTGCTGTGTACGGGCTCTACACACGGTACCACTGCTTTATCACATGAAAAAAAAGACCAATGACTGCCCACCCAAGGGGATGGAGACGAGTGGTCATTAGATGGATGTACCTTCACCACCTGCCAGCAGATCTGAGAAGGCCAGTGTTTATATCACAATGTCTTTTCAATTTGAAAAATTTCACCAAAGAAAAGCTAAAAGACACATTTTTATTTGGAAAAAAATAAAGAAAAAGATATTCCAGTGTGTGGCATCAGTGACAACATGGAAAACCTAGGTTAGACCATGGGCAGCATTTCACTACCAAATGATGTCACTGGAGGCATCAGGTGGCACTGTGGCACAGAGCCTTACAAGCCTCCTTCACATTTCGGAGAGCCACTCATATAATTACTTCTGTGAAGTAATGCCATTTAGGGGAGCTGACTCCTGCAGGAGCTTTTTTGCGGTTGACAGACCAGTTTGTTATACTGGAGGCGGTATAACCTCTACGTATTGTCTGAAAAATAGAGAAGTCTGTGTTAGTGTGTCACATCAAAATAGGAGGGCAGGATTTGTTAGTCCTCGTAAGGGGCCAGAGTTATCTGGTGAGCTCACCTCTCTCAGCAGAAATCTAAGCCCTGCAGAAATGTGATAAGTATATTTGCTGACTCATATCACAAGCATGGCTTATTCTATCTGCCAAAATACAAGGCAGACATGTCCTTCTGACTAGGAGGAATAGGGCACACTTGGGAAAACTCAGCTGAAAATCCTAGATATAAGCAAATTTGGGAAGAAAGGTCACACTGAAATGCCATTATTATGTACAAGAAAGTTTGTTTCCTCTTACATTCCTGGAGGTATTTAAAAGAAGGGTAGATGTGGTGCTCGAGGACATGGTTTAGTGGTGGACTTGGCAGTGATAGGTTAACGGTTGGACTCAATGCTCTTAAGGGTCTTTTCCAACCTTAACGATTCTATGATTCTATGATTCTATGATTTATATCTATATGTCCCCTTTATGGAGTGCATAGCTTGTGTCTGACCAAGTGTCTGAAAACTATTTTCTAACATGCCCTCATCTCTATTAGATTCTTAGTATTAGTGGAGTTTATTTAATGAGAGGGAGTTTTATGGACAGGAAGAACACCCAGTTCCCTGATCATAAGAGCCTGTGATGAAGATAAAACATGGGGAGAGACTAGTGATCCCAGGGAGCAGCTGTGGTAGAAAAGCAAAGTAATTGAAGAGGTCCCATTTTTTGATGTTGTGTTTCTCAGGTCTGGATTTTAGGGTTTAGTTTTTTCATCTTCATCTCAAATTGTGATACGATTAAATGAATGAAGTGGGCTGTGCTACTGGAAGATGGTGTCGCAGTACCAGGAGAGAGCACTGCCAGACTGATGCTGTTACCTGCGCTCATCACAAACCCCAGGCTGCTGTCTGGGGGGGGCAGCAGGTGAAGGTGTCTGTGCCAAGAAAGGCAGGGACAGACAGACAGAAACCAGACTGTCCCAGCAGGTACAGGGGCAGGAGATACAAATGCCAAGTCCCTTTTCCTTAAGGAAGAGGAAAAGGATCTCAGCCTCACAGAGATTTGTGGGTGTCAGTATTGCTGGGGCTGTTTCTACCAGAGTACATCCTAAAAATTGCATATCATTCAATTTATGACCATAGAAGGCTAAGAAGAACTCCTGATATTTTTTAAGGCAAAGTCACATGTGGGTTCTCTATATTATTGTACCATTAAGTTAACAGCTGAGGCAGTCTGCCATACCACTTGGGAGACCTGGTTTTGAGGGCAAGTTTAGCAATCTCCCTTCTCTATCCCATGAGGAGTGAGAGTACTGTGAAAATGAAATGGTGCCCTTAATCTCTGCCAGAAGAGCAGTGCACTTAGTCCAAACTTTACCCTTTAGCACCACTTAGCAGTCAGAAACAGTAACAGCAGAGGAAGCCCTGCCCTTATGATACGTTCCTGTTAACGGGGGTGTGGAGAGTCAGAAATACAATCAGCTAAAATGGGGAGCTGGAATAGAGGAGCAAGATGAATCAATCCTTTGCCTGTTCAGGAGCTCGTATGGAGAGGCAGAAAGCAAACACCTGCAGACATACACTGAAATCTTTTACATGGAAATATAGATCAGACCCAAAACATTCATCTGGCAAAATGCGATACCGTACAAATTGCATTGCTTTTGTCATATGCTGCTGGAGCAGGACATGGAGGTGGGCACTGAGGTCAGGATGAAGGCAACGTCAGCCAGACTGTTATTTTTCTGTAAAGGACCAGATTTTGCTATTGAGTGTAATAGATTTGCATGAAAGGAATAAGAAAGTGACATATCTAAGTTAGTGTAGACGAGAGAGAGAGAGAAGGGGCACTTGCAAGTGCCCCTCTTGTCCTGTAATTCAGTGTTCCCAGTGCAGCACTGAGGCTCATTAGCCAACCAAAATGGGCTCCTCTGTAACCCTAGTGGTTATTTAACGGCGGATTCTTTTATCAAATGCTCTGCCATACAAACTAACAACATTCAAATCTATAAATAACACCCAGAAAGATTCACCCAGAGGCACAACACTTGATGAAAAGAGAATGGTTTCCATAGTTTCAGTAGTTTTTCAATTATCCAGCACACTGAGATGATTAATGACTTCACTTCCTAACGACAATTGTTTCTTAGTGTTTCATTTTTGTAAGTGTAGGCATTTTCAGAGGGAAGGGGTCACGTTGTTTTTTTCCCCAGCTGGACTATATTCCCTGGGCTGCCTCCTGTTTCCATCCATTCCCACGACTTCATGTCCTATGGAACACCACAGCATGCATCTCCACACCACAGCAGAAACAATTTGTCTGATGAAATCTCCATGTGCTATGCATGGAGTTAAACAGCCATGGCACTGAAGTTATTTGTTTGTTTCTTGCCCTGTAACTTTAGTGTCTGTTTAGTGGATTGTTCTCTGGCATGGCAGAATGCAGGAGTCTCGTAATGAACTGGATGCAGTAGCAGTGCATTTTAATTGTCTGTCTGATGCAACAGCTTAAGATGTCAACTCACCACTGTATAGAAGCTTTAACTGTTGATTTTCTACTTCTTTACAGCCTTAGCATTTCCCACAGAGTCCAAGGACAACATCTGCAAAAGAATAGTCTTTTCTTGTTTAAGTAGCCCTCAATTAACCCAAGTCAGAAATATTTGGATGTCCTTTCTTTGTACCTTTGCGCAGTGATATTAATATGTCTGACAGGTTTGTCAGGGACTGCTCTTTAGCCTATACTACAGGCTGCCTCAAATAGCAAATACATGTGTGCATGGCATGGTATGTCATAATATTCTGAAAGAATTCCCTGTCTGTGAAGAACAGAGGAATCATGCAGCAAAGATGTTGCTCGGTCTGCCGTGAAAGAGTTGTTGGGTGCGTGCAGGCAGAGCCTGCACCAGTTGGACATACCTGTGTGTGCTGCCATTGGGAGCTCTCTGTACACCTGTCCTGCACACAGAAGTAACATCTTGCTGAGCAGCACTTGCTGCAGGTGCCCTGGCTTGGCTGCATTGCACAGACCTCCACCACGCAGACAGCTCAGGTCCCCTTCCTCCAGTGCGCACCAGCTCCTGTCCTGGGTGAGCAGCAAAGGAGGGAGGAGCAGGGAGATGACCCGTCCGTCCTGCTGGCTGGCAGCCTGTCTGTCCACGGCTCCTCACAGGCAGGACCTCAAGGGGACAGTCCCCAGCAGAAGTGCCACCCGGCATCTTCTCCCGCTCTCCACAAGCAGGTTGCAGACCAGGACAGCAGCACCTGTGTGTGGGAGAGGGCCCTGGGGCAGCACTGCAGAGGCAGCTGGGGCTGAGGCAGGGGCTGTGAAGCTGCAGCCAGCTGCGTGGGATTTCACAGCTCAGCCTGCAACCATAAGCAGTGCCGCAGGTCTGCCCTGGAAAGGCACCATCCTGAGCTGGGTGCCATCCCTCCAGGCCAGCAGAAGAGACGGTTCGTGCCTCGGATCACTCCCATGTTGGGTCTTGTCCTGCAGAGACTGACACATTCAGATCTCTGTCGCTAGGTGCTGGTCTGTAATTTGCGACAGGCAGGATTGTAGAGCTCTGCTGTGCTCCAGCTCTGAGGCTTAGGTGCAAAGCCTACAAAAGCAGCACTGCCATTGCTGAACTGAGAAACTTTTGTGTCACGTGTGGATTGGTTCTCACTGATGTGCATAAATGCATGGGTGGGATCACGGGATGCAGCATCCTGCTTTTAATGCCTTAGCGTGGACTTGCAAGGAAAACTTGGTCTGTTCAGGAAGCAGCTGCAGAAAATGAAAGCATTTTGATGGGCTTATTTCCTCTAGCTGAAAGATAACCTTTTCTTCTCCCCTGCTAACAGCCCTTTTTCTCCAGGCTAAACAACAGTCCCGCAGACACTATCACCTGTGTGGTTTCTCTCCACCTTTCATGCTAGGGTACTTTCTGCCGGACAGCTGTCCTCTTAGATCGATGACAAGTGCCTGGTCCCTTAGAAACCACCTTTTCTCACAGAACAGAGGACAAAAAGAGAAAAGATGAATTATCCCTTATACAAAAGTTTTAAGTTCGTTGTCAAGGGAAAGTTCACTTTTTCCAAGCTTTTTTCAGGTTCTTTCCAAGCAGCTATTTCTTCCCCTTCCAGACTTAATGCCTAGAGGGGCTTCTAAACAATTTACTGATGGTTTCAGCTCTTCTGGTTAGTTAACACAAAACCTTACCCAACTGACAAGCAGTTTAAAGAAAAAACATATAGCTGACTGAGCGAATGGAGTTGTTAGCTGTTCTGAGAATAATCGGATTTCAAGATTTTTCTGCCTTCTCCTAAAGTCAGGGTCATGGCAGAGTGGGGTGTCTTATTTATCACAGATTTGTATTATAGTTCTCCTCCCAACAGCTGTTCATTAGCAGTAATTCTGTCCATCTTTTTTTTCTTTTTATGTTTACCAAAACAGAGGATTCCTGTCTGCTGTTTTTTGCTCTGAGCTGGTCCAAAGGCAAAGAGGCCAAATAACTCTCTTAGGAGTTTCTGCTTTCTGAGGAAATCCTCACGTAGGACAGACCACCACTGTGGCTCCTCTGTAGCTCCACGCAGGTGTCCCTGGCACAGCCGGCACTGCCAGCCTCCTGTTCAGCAGCATGGCTGGCCTCAGGCCCATCTCTCTTGGCTAACACATCAGGAGTTACTCCATGAACACTGCACTAAGAATTCAAGCAAAGTGTATGCTTTATTTCTTCCCCTGGAGACCTCCTGGCTCTTCCCACAGCCCGTGGATGCTGCAACAGCTTTCTGCAGTCCTTTCAGATGCAGATTTGCCAGCCAGTCATTCACTGGCTTTTTGCTTCAGCCTCTGACTGGACAGTGTTTTCCCAAAATAGACCTCCTTATTGTTTTCCTCTGCCTGAAGAAGGGCTTCTTGTCCTTAATTATGAATCAGCTTCAATAATGCGACTGATGATACAGTAAATGTATACACGTTCCATGCCATTGCGGGTCAGCCCTCAAAGGGCTTTCCATTCCCAGGCATGCAGGCAAGGGGTCAGGGGAGAAGGTGGCTGTGCTGGCAGCAGGGTGAGCGGCTGGGTGGGTGGTGGAGGAGATGTGCGGCACAGAGGAGGGACAGCTCTTTGGGATGTAAGGGAGCAGAGTGGGGAAAGAGGTGAATGGTCCAGCAAGAGGGAAGTCAGAAGCAGCACAGAGAAGGACGGGATAGTGAAATGTGGGTAGAAACAATATTCCTGAGGTACTGGCTGAGCTGGGGTGAGCTTTCCCTGCTCCTTCAGCGTACACCTGGTCCTTATTAAACTCTACCTCCAGCCTGCCAGACAGCTGCCCAGCTTCCTCCTGTGGGGCACGGTGCCACTCCAGGCATCGACAAGCAGTGTCACTGTAGGCAACCCACATCCATCCTTCTTAAAGACATGTCTTAAAGAAGCTGGGAAAGGCAGAGCTGCAGGACCCATCCTGAGCCTTCCAGCACTTGCATTAGTGGTAGACTAATAGTTGTGTTCGGGGTAGAAAAGCAGACAAACCCCAAGGAAACCTGAAACAACCAGCCTGTGTCCTGCCATTGCCAGCTGGTGTCAACATTTCATGTTCTGCTGCTTGGACAATTCACTGAGTCACCCTTTCCATTTCATGACTGCACATTTTAGAGGTTGAAAAGGTAGGTTGATCAGTTTTGCCAGCGAAAATATTTGAAGAGTAAGTGAAGCTGATGTCACGTTACTTTGCAGTTAGCGGAATTCGGCAAACCTAATCCCATTATCCTGTCAAAACCGCACAGAGAGATCACCAGAAAGAATATCTTAGTGACTCCTCAATAGAAGCCAGAAGCTATGAATACACTGTTAAGTTTAGACAGTCTAGTGGTGACAGACCTTTGGCTTTTTTATATATTGTGAGATAAATAATAGCCACAGCATCTGATTAAGTTGATATAAAGTTCTGTTTAGTCCTGTGCCTTCTGCCTGCCCCATGAAAAGTGTCAAAGCCCGAGAACCATGGCTGATGGTATTTTCAATTAAAAGGCTTCTCAAGGTTTACGTAAGCATACTCAATGAAGGCAGGCCAAATGGAAAAGCCTTTTTCTAAAGCACAACACTCAGATATTATTTTCATGGAGCTCTTAAATCCAGTAGGTCTTCTTTAGTCCCCCAATCAAGTATCAGATATGGTCAGATAGATGTGGGCTGTCCATCATATCTAAACTGTTCTGAAGCACCTCCGTGCATTACTCTGCTTCCTTGTGCCATCAGCTGTGTCACTGTAACCATTATCCCTTGCTTTATTCTTTTGGCAGCCTCTTGGAAATAAATGAACTAAGGGCTAAATGAGAACGGTTTGGGCTTCTTGTTTTCATGTGCTCTTGATTTCTGTTTGCCTATAATCTGAGAAGGGTTGGTAGAGGACAGTGCTGCACGTGATAGCTCCTTAGGATCAGGGATAAACAACCTGTTGGCAAGACAGTGGTTTTGGTCAATGACTGGAAGGTAATTCAGTGATCTTCCTTGCCACAGAAACTTATTTGCAGAAATCTGTTAGCAGTGATAAAATACATTACAATAATCCTGGATTGATGCCTAGAATTGCTTCTAAAATAGCAACATACAAACAATTGTGAAGCCCCAAACAGTGTATTTGAGGGAAGTTACTTTGAGAATGGATGAAATGTGAGCATGCAGGTGATTCATGTTCTTGCTTCATAACTTTTTCTTGCTTTTTGTTTACTGCAAATGCAGTGGCTGGGCATCAGGCTGGTGTATTTCATGTTACTGTCTTTTCCTTCCAACTCTAGAAAAAGTTCTCATGGTCTGGAGATGTGACTTTATCAGTCTTGCCTAAACTGACACCTCCTATCTAATTTGCAGCACTGGGCAACACCCTTCCCAGGGTCTGTCTTTGGATGACATGAGAAGAAACTTCCAGTACCCACCGATCGACAAAAATGGTGAGTTAATGCAGAATACTCCTCTGAGCATCTTGGTGTGGTTAACCAGTGCAGAGCTACAGTCTCCTGAGGTACCAAAAAGTCTTATGAGAAAACTAATGTACAGTGGACGCTGCTGGTTAGTCAGCCAGAGCTGGCGAGATCTCACCCTGTGCTCCTTGCATGTGTGCCCCAAGCACTTCGGAGCTGGGATGGTCCTTTCTGTCTACATCCATGGATCTGTGAATAAAGAGGAGATGTGGCATTATACCCTCAAGGCTGCTTCTGCAAAAAGTGGGCAAGACAGTCCTGTTTCTGGAGTACCACAGGAGCATAAAATGATACAACGTATCCTTTTCACCATTCACACTCTTGTCTCAGAGGGCATCCTGTCATTCTGCTCCCCTCCAGAACAGAGATGCCCTGACTGCTTCTTCCTCTTGCCTTCCCGGCTTTCTGTCCTACCACATTCAAGTGTACGTTCATTCATTGAAAGACAAACAGCTTTCCAGCAATCATCCCCAGTAAACCTCTCTCGCTAAATAGCCTCTGCTCAGGTCTTGTCTTGCAGGCAGCTTCTTTGGAGTCTGTTTCTCGCCCACCCTTTCTAAATGGCTCACAAACTCACTGCCTGGTTCTTTACAGTTTCCCAAGCATAGGATGGCTATCAGCTTAGAGCAGTTTTTAGCCCAGCAGCATAATATATAAATAAAACCTTAAAATAAAAATCTTATGAAAACATAGTTGGCATTAGGGTGGTATCAAGAAGACTGGATTCAGAAATCTTAGGTAAATCTTTCTTTCTTGGTGTGGATCTGAAGGTCAGACTCTTTATCTCACCTTCGTGCCGATCTTCGTTCATACTAGGCTCAGCTGCTGTGTCCTAGAAAGACCTGTCACTGGTGTGAAGGCACTTTCAGTACATGCTGTTGGGGTAGTACATGTTTTATGCTCAGGTGTGAAACAACAGTACATCCCAACTCAGTAACTTTCTGTGCAGCAATACTGAAGTGGGACTATACCTACTGAGTGTGTGATTTTGAAAAGCCTCCAGCTGCTGTCCCACGGTGCTGCTCCTTCCACCAGCACCAGCTGATCTGTTTACCTGAACGTCCTAAGCTGCTCCAGTGCCGTGTCAACAGGACATCACTGCCCCATTTCAGCGCTGACACATGGCCAGGGCCCATCTGCTGTGGCTGCTGTGTTTGCTGAGCAAATGTCAGCACAGCATCCGCAGTTACCTTTGCCTGACGACCGCACCACAGATTGTGCTTCCACCATCTGCCTGGAGCCATGCAGATATTCTGGATCTTGTCACCCCCTGGACAGGTGTGAAAGTCCAGGGAGCCCTGGAGACAGAGCAATGCAAGAAGGTGTTTTCTGAAACCGTTGCTAGAGGGATCACCATACCAGAGCACTGCAGTACACCCAGTGACACCAGATGCAAAACCAGACTTTGATACACTCTTAAAACAGTGCCACAGACCAGGCAGAGAATGAGGCTTTGGCACTGCCCATGCCAGCCACGTCTGTTCTGAAAGCTGGGTAGAGGGTTTTTTCATCAATATTTGTATCAGACTTTGGCATGTGATGGACAAAGGAGGCAAATAAAAATGGCAAGAGCCATGAGGCTGACATGGTGGAGAATGACAGTGACATCCTCAGTACTAAGGAGTGGGGCTGGGCTTTGATGGACAACACGGACTTCTAAGGACATGCGTACACCACGGTCGCTGCCACCCAGGAGTGCCCAGCAGGAAGGTGTCTCTGTGTTTGCTGTGAGCAGAGTTGTTTTGTGCTGCGTAAAGTTTCTGTTTCTCCGAGGCACACTTGCTGAGTACCTACAAGGAAAACATGGGTTTTTTGTATGCTCTATGCTTACATACCTTTTTCTGTCTGTTCAAATGGCAACTGTGTTGAGTGGACCCATTGACTTTATGGTGTTGCCATCCTCATTCAGAGTTTGCTGCTGTCCCCTGCCCTGGGGCCTTCTCACTGCTCTCCTGGCACCTGCTCCCTTTCCTGCCACTTTCTGAGGTTTGTCACCAGGAGAATTCAGTGTTTTGTTCTGCCTGAAGCATATATCAGAAGCTCATCAACTCTTCGTCTTTGCTGTTTTTCACTGGCCTCAGCATGACTCTTGCACTCCCTCCTCCCCTCTGCACTGGGCAAGAAAAAGAGAAAACCTGGTCATATAAATATTTACTGAGTACAACGCTAACAGCAGCCTTACTGTCATAACAAGTAGTGAGGTAATGACCTTTGAAAGTGAAAAAAGGACAAAAACTTTGTTATTACTTGTCCTATGCAGATTCCACAGCTGCAGAGAGCAGTTCCTCAGGGCACAGCTTTCATCAGGTACCCAGAAACTGGAAAACTCAAGGAGGAAGAAAACAAGAACGAAACAGAAATGTTTAGTGAATTCTTGGAGTAAAACCATCCAGGCAAGACTGGAGAGGGTTTCTCAAGTCTGTATTCAAAAGGGACACAAGGGAATAAAGGGCTGGTGGAGAAGGGACTCTCCATGGCTACATTTAAGCTGTGGCATTAAAAAGTGATTTCAGATGCCACTCACAAGACCTCAGGATTTATTTTCAATTTACCTGTTCCTTGAATTGTAGTTTCCACAGAAGGGAACAAAAGCATGTGAGTGGAAAGGGAGGTGGCCCCAGCCAGACCTCCATGTTGCTGGTCAGGATATCAGGACTGTGCTGCAGCACAGCTTGATCACAGCCAAGAGCTGGCCAATCTGAGCCTTGTGCTAACTCAGGTAACAATGGAAAAAGCCAGGGTGATACAGAGGAAAGTGAAGATCCTGGCTGCTAGACACAACAGGACTGGAAAAGCTACTCCTTGCCACATGCTTCATTTCAGCAGGCTCATGCAGCTTGAGTTGAGTCCTGCAGCGTCACCAGGATATGTATCTTGAGGAACAGCAGAATCACTGTCCCGTGTTGCAAAGTATCATACCCAGCTGCTCTGGAGGCCCACCATAGCACTCTGCAGCCCGGCCACCCCTTGCTCTGACTGCATCCAGTCCTTCGAGATCCTGGTAGAGTGATCGAGCCATTGCAATGCATAGTGGCACACCAGAAGACAGAAAGCCCTGAGCCCTTTTTTATTAGAGTGCTTGGTCTAATAATTGCAAATATTTGCACTCTTTATTTATGCCACATAAACTAATTTCACTGCTGTCTTTCCCCATTCATGTCCATTTTGATCTTTTTGCTTTCTGTTTGCTTTTTGCCTAATGTTTTCCATTATCCTCATTTGCACTTGCAGTCTGTAAATAATAAAGAATACATTCACTGTTTTCCTTTCTCAGTAAAAGCCTCAAAAGCACCCTGCTCCCATTCCTGCAAGAACTTTTCTGATAGTGAATAATTTTCTTCATTGAGTGCATTTGAAAATAGGAATTCTACAAATAAACACAGCCCTGACTTCTTCAGTGAAAGGAAAGGACAGGCTCTTCACGGGAAGTTTTACAAATTGTGAGTTAAACAGCATGTTGAAAGCAGTGAAATCACACAAGGCAGCTACACAATGCCCAAAGAAAACTGTATATCCTCTAAAATTTAAGATAGGTGTAAACACAAAGTTTAACTTGGACATTGGCTTCTCCTTGCTCACTGCAGCTCTCAGACACTGGTGGGCAAGCTCATGATGCTGCTGCAACAGTCACCAAAGTTTCCCAACTGCAAAGGTGGCCCTGGCAAGGCTTGCAGCACAGAAACTGCCCTGCAACACAAGGAAGTGCATGCACTCACTCAGTTACATGACAGGGCAAGCCCAGGCTGTGGCGCTGGAAAGGGCACCATCCATCGGAGAAGAGATGCATCACTGGCAGGCAAGAAGGGACCCCTGGGAGTGAGGCAAGCCAAGCGTCCTCATGGTCTTAATCCTGGCTGGTATGAAACTCACAGGCACTACAAGGAAAAGAAAAAAACATAGGATATGGTTGAGGGGGCTGGAAACATGAAAGCATTTATTAAAGCCAAGGTTCCCCACTGTGTGGCAGCAGTAAGGTAAATGGAAGTGATGGTGGAGCACATGGGCAGTCTCCCACCCAGGGTGATCAGTGTACAGCAGCACAGTGCAACGTGTTGTCACCACGGCTGGAGAGGTCCTCAAAAGTATGGCCTGCTCTTGTAACATGTCCCGTCGCAGCCTGTCGCACCATGGCTCTAGCTTCAGGGATGACACATGGTACCTTCGCCTCACAGGGAACATTCAGCATGCACGAGAACAGTCACAGCGTTAAGGCCCAGCATATTTAGGATATGAGTGATGTTCCCTTAAGAAAAGCTTTGCTGCCAGCTTTCGAAGCATAGTGCGTCACGATTAGGAGATAAACCAAAGTTGCTTATGGATTACAGCTTAGGAATGCGGTGGTCAGTACTGTTGTAACTATCCGAGTCTTAATTTTGTGCAGCTGTGTGTCTTTTATGTTTGGCAATAGGAACTTAGCTCACAGGAGCCTTAGCAATGTTTTCTAACCCTTCTCCCACCCTACACTGTGCCCCAGAAAGTTTTCATGCTCTAGTTTCTCTGCTCTCTTGTTTCCCAAGCATCTGAGTATCTCTGTACAATGCCTAGTTATCAAGAAATTGGAGTTGGCTCCACTGGATTCTTAATGTTAGTGCAGTAAAATAAGAAGCATGGGAGCAGCTGACCAATGACACTGTGTAAAGGGAGAAAAAGCTTCTTTGGCGTTGTTGGAGCAGCTCATTGGAAATACAGTGCTGGCAAGAGCAGTCAGTTGCTTTCTGTTTTGTAGTGTCAAGAATTAAAAGGTTTTAAAAACACTTATCAGAGTGCTTATATTGAGCCCCCCGAAGCTCTAGTTGAAAGGGCAAAAGGTATTTTTTTTAATGGCAAACTTCCACTGTGTTACTAAACATCGAGACCTATGTTTTTATGTCAGTCACCAAAGATTCTTTGTGCTTGATTATTGCGAATTCATTGCATGAATGACAGGGTCTGTTTACTTCCTATTCAAATTTTTCCTCAGCAGATGATATTGAATGGAGATTTGCAGACAGCAAAAAGGTATCAGCATGATCTGTGCCTATTTAGCTCAAAATAGTATGCACATTATTTTGTTGACATCGTCACTGCAGGGAAAGGTGGGGGAGAACTGCTGCTGTGTTGAGCCACATGTGAACTTCTCTCTGCATCTTGCAGGCTACGTGTCGGATCCCATGAGTACCATGAGATTTCATTCCTGCAGCAGCAGTGGCAGCTTTGAAGAAAGCAGCTGACAGCGTGGACTGTCCGCCTGCAGAGAGACTCACCATCAACCGGCAGCAACAGTTCTCACCATATCAGCCTAAATCGCAGGCATCGTGTGTTACACTGAAAATCCCTAAACTGAACAGCTTTATTTGTTGATGGCAAATATCCCTGTCATAAATTCTGCTCTAGCATCTTTCTCTGCTGACCTGCTTGAGGGTTGGGTTTTTTTGGTGGTGTGCATCTATTGTTTAATGAAGTGAATGTCCACAAGGAATGCTGCACTTTCATCTTGAGCATTAATAATTTGAAGAGATGAAAGTAAAAATACATCTGTTATAGTTTCAGAGCTCCAAGGCAAGTTGCTGTTACCGTGGACTGCACTAAAGCATGGGGCTATCAACCCCTCCCTGACCAGTAGGTGCCAGGGAGCTGCCAGCCCAGTCCCATCAAGAAGAGGAGAAGCCTGTCACTCCCCACCACCATCCAGGACACCATGGAGGTAAAGTTGTTCCTGCTCCCAGCTTCTGAACGAGATCTAGTTTCTTTTTTGAGTTCCCCACAGTCCCAGACATGTCGCGTGTCTCATTTTCATCATCATGGGCTCATGCAGGTCCCCAGCACAGCAGCCCCATGGCTGCAGCTCTTCAGAGCCCTGATCTTTGGATGCTTTCCTGCTCGCTGAGAATAAAGAGATTTGGGTGGCCATCTTGATTGTACTCTGCCAGACGTTTGTGTTTTCTTATCCACTTTCTTGTTGCAGTTTGAGTGATATTGTTTTTCCCAAAGCGTGTAAGCTTTCATTCAGACATTTGCTTACAAAAAGCAACATAGGTACTCCAAAACAAACTTTAAACCAGAAGGAAAATATGCAAAATTGTGTCACAAATATGATAACATTAACACCGTGCAAAGTTGTGGTTTTGACTTGAAGCAAAACTGCAGCAGAGTGCCATCTAGCGCGTGCTGAGCTAGATGAGCGCCATGACTCTTGGAACAGCAACTCTGATCACTGGAAAATAAAAAAAATAAATTAAAAAAAAAAAAAAAAAGAGGTAGGGCAGGAGAACTTGACCTCTTCTTCTAGAAGCAATTACAGAGATAATTATGCTGTTATTTTCTGGGGTCTTTTTTCAAATTAGCAAAATTTAGCTGCAAGCAATCCTGCTGTAATATTATTTCTTAACTGGATTCAAAGACACCACTGTCTTATTGGCTGAGTAGAAATCAGCATTCATAATTGCTCTGTGTTGCTTTGTCGATATTATTCAGGATGTTGGTTTCTTACCACTATGATCCCTGAACCGAGGTCTGTGATGAGGCATCGCGCAGTGCAACACACATGAACTATAAATGTGTAGTAGGCTCTACCGACTCACATCTTCCATGCACAGCACTAATTTCACAATCCTGAAGCAATAAAAATGGGGAAGATTTCACTTAGCAAGGTTTACAGGTGTTTTTTCATTTGTTTTGTTTTGCTTTCTGAAAAATTCAATGGGGGAGAAAGGGAACTAAAGCTGTACGTTGAATGTTGCAGATCTGCTGTCAGCCCCTGGTACCAGTTGCAGTCTCATATATACCAACAGTTGGCTGGGCTAATATAAATGTTAGAAGAAACACACAGAAAGGTCTGGGATGCAGCTCACTAGAGGACTTGTGGGACCCTATATGAAATCCCCCAACTCCCATAGGAAGTACAGCTGGGAAAACCATCCCATCGCCTCCAGCGGCCGCTCAGTGAGCATCCCATCCCTCTCTGCCCTGGGCGGGAGCAGAAGAGCAGGCTGCCTCAGCACTTGGCCAGGAAGGACTGACAACTGTCAGCACCAGCTCCTCTGGTCCAGCACCAGCCTCTGTGCCCTCACTGCGGTCTGCGGGGTAACGCAGAGCCACCTCTTCCAGCCTACTGAGAGAAACATATTTTCATGCTGAGTTTCATGTAAGGAGGCCTTGCACAGCACTGCGCTTGCTTTCAGCTCACTCTTTCTGGCTCACACTTCTTCCTTTTTGTGGCAGAACTCAGAAAGCTCTGACACTCATATTCACAAAATATTGTCATTACCTCTGAATCCCACCAACACACACCATGGCAGCCTCATCCTCCCTGAGGCTGAGAGGGGGTTTTGTGACTGGATAGCCTAAATGTTTTGAAACTGAGGAATTCAGTGCAGCAAAAAAAAAAAAGAAAGCATCAGTGCAGCATCCTGACTGCAGACCAGTGTTTCAGGGGACTAAACACTGCTTAGCACTGGAAGGGAGCTGCTGACAGCCTGTTACACTTCCCTGGATACTGTCACGACTTTCAGAGATGATGAGCATTTTCTCTGAGCATGCCTCTGGAAAAATCCATAAAGAACTCTCCACCCCATCTTTGCAAAGCTTTAGCAATAAGTCAGTGTCACGACATGGGCGATGCGGTGTCAAATCACTAAGAGCTTTAATAAAAATGAGCAAGAGGAAGCTTCAGTCTTTCCCATGGATCAAAGGGGACCATCAATCATCATGGTAACTTTTCAAACCAATGATTAGCTTTGTTATTTTGCAAATGCCTTGTCTGTTCTATTTCCCATGTGGCTATAGAATTTGCAGAGCTTATGGCTTGAAACAGGATTAGCCAATGAGACAGGAGATACCCCTGCACAGGGACTCCACTAACCCTGCAGCATCCGAGCTGAGGGGAAGGCACATCTGCATGACAAAATGCAAACAGCCAGAATTAGTCCAGGTTAAAAACATCCCCCTTGATCATTTCCCATTTTCAGTTCCTGAAAGCAGAAAAAGAGTGTAAAACACACTGAAATTAGTATTCTGCCCACTCAGATAAATCACTGGGGGAAAAAAAAAGGAGGTGTCCCCTGAACAAATTCCAGTTCATTGCTAACAAACTGTTCTGACCTTGGTGCCAACGCCCTCCAGGTCAAAAACGATGTTACCAACACACACTGAACTCACCCATTCTGTTGTCCTTCCACTGTAACAATCCAATGTTGGCACCGCAAACTGCAAAAAAACGACATCCAGATTTCTTTGCAACTGGAGGAAATGTGCCGTATTCTTTCTAGAAGTAAAAGCGACACTGGAAATCAGCACGCTCTGAGGAAAGACATTTGGGATGCTGATGAAAATTCCCTACCTGACTATCTCATTGACCAGATGTTTCATGTGGTAGAGCTACTGAAGCACAGGCAGGGAATAAGCTGAAGAAGGGAGGGGTGGACAGCAATTAGATCTCATTCCTTGGTTTTTGCACTGAACAGTGTATGAGACACTGACAGGGCAGAAAGGATCAATTGTCATAGCTGAAAAATCAGTTCCAGCATTAAGTTTCCTTTTCAACATGATTTTTTTCTTACAAATACCTCTGCACTATGTCTTTTTCCCTTGCTTAAAACAATCATGCAATGACTCTTCATTAATACAGTAGCCATACCTGAAAACCAGAAACTAAACTGGATTAGACAACAGAAAACAGAGCAAGGAAAGTAGACTTCATTTGCATTGATACCTCTATGTACCTGAGCTGCTTGGTATGATCTCTGAGCAATTCCTTGGAACAACAACAAAAAAAAATCAGAAAGCTTTTGAAGGCAAAACTTTTATAGTTTAGAAAGCTCTTTACAAGGCCAACTGCTTGCAAATAATTTTACTAGTAATTAAAATTACTGGCTCCTTGAAGAAAACAATGTCGTCTTAGTTAATTGGTCTCTATAGAAGAAACATCAGGTTTAGGGGGAAAGTGTGTTTCATGGGAGAGATCAGTTATTAATACAAATGAAAACTCTGAAAAATGTAAATTACTGAATAGAACGTGCTCCAAAGTTGTTTGTGGGAATGAAACTTGTTTGTGCCATTCCCAGAGAAGCCCAAGGAGCCCAGCACGCTGAAATATTTATAAAGAACGAGACACTCCAAGGATTCCTACCTTGCTTTTAAGACCAGCCAGTGCCTGGTAGCTGTGGCAATATTTCAAATTGTTTAACGTATCAGTAATAGATAAAAGAGATTTAAAATAAACTGTTTTCCAACCAAATAAGTGCTTGCACTGCAATCAGGAATGAGTCCGGCGTCTCTGCGGCAGGGGCTGTGCTGCCCCAGCCGCGCAGCAGGGCTGGGCCAGCGGAGACCCGGCCTGGGGCAGCCCATGGGGCCGGAGGCGTTTTCCTGCAGGATGGTCCCCGCCAGCTTGGCCGAGCCCAAGGCACAGCGGGGCCACCGGGGAGGCTTGGCTGGCACAGCCCCGCCAGGCAGGCAGAGGGGTTGGTCGCACTTTTTTTGTATGGCTGAGCCCGCAAAACACGACAGAAAATTCCCAGCCAGAGAAACCCACCTTGTAGCACGAGCACTTGTTTAAGACAGATGCACGCGCCACCTGCAAGGTGCTGCCCACTGCAAACTTTCCAGGCGACGGCTGTGAAGATCACCATCTTACACCTTTTAGCCGCGCCAGAGGCTTGGTACCCAGTTCCAGGAGCCGGACTTTGAACAATCTTTCTCATACTGTGCCCATAGTACGCAGCTGGCATTTTTTTCCAACTGATGAAATGCATCTATTTAGCCTGTGTAATGTCACAAGGTATGATTTCAGCTGTGTAAGCCAGTAATGATACATTTGAGGCACAATCATCAGCATCCAGTGACAAGCTACTGAGAATACCTGACAGTTTAGGGAGTTAAAAAATGCCTTTGTGATGAGCCAAAAATTAGTTTTGCCAGCAGCAACACTGTTAGATAGTTTGCTTTTCTCACATATGTTCAGTTTAATAATTAGTCTCTTTTTTTTTGGTGCACATCTTGTTTTTCCCTAAGTGCCACCTAGATTTTTTCACTTTGAAGTTAATTACTAGCGAGCAATGGATAGGAAAGCAGAAATTACCATGGATAGCATTTCCAAAACCATAAAATTATCCATTTTGATGTTTTTTTTTTCCTACCAAAATTCCACCTGCTCAGATTACAGGCATACCCATGTTTTGAAAGTACGCAAATGGTACACTTTTAACAGCAGTAGAGCAGTTCTCTGAAGCTGAAATTGCTGTATTCAACTCAATTCCACATCTGGTTCAAGTCCTCTGACCATTTTAGAAATCAGTTGCCTTAAAGGAGCCAGACACGTGAACAGTAATGCAACGTCCCAGGCACAAACCCGGCTCACGTCACACCACGGCCATGTTGTACCAATGAGCTGCCTGCGGCACTGCCAGCGTGCAAAACAAGCGAGGGAGAAGGTGAGTATGCGGGCAGGGGGAAACCATCCGGTACCTGGTGGGGGATGAGCTGTCAGGATGGGGTAAGGGCTGTTTCCTTACCACAGATCGAACCTCACCTGTATCTATCCTGTAAATAAAGCTGTCAGAAAGAAGCATGAGAGAAAACAGATGATCTCATCAATATGATATGAGCTCAGAAATTATGGAGTGTTCTTGGGAAATTAGGTTTTTTTTTCTATCAGTATATAAAACCAGAGTATTTGCAGTGTGGGTTTTTTTAGAGCAATACAAGAACTTGCATGAGTCGGCATGTTCCTAACCAAAGGACTCATTTCCCCAACTGTTAAACTCATGCACACAAGTGCCATTTATAAATATTTTAAGGATTTTAAATAATAAATTGTCAGCTTTCCAGTTCCTTGGAATCATTACTGCATTGCTTATCTGGGACTTCCCTGATGCCCCACATCTTCTGCAGCCCCAGAGTGCCTTGGGAGTTCAGCTGCCTCTTGGTTACCAACTCTTGCCTTCTTTTCTAAAAGGCTGAAGTGGACCTAGTTAAGTCGTTTGCTGCAAACTCATACTGCCACTCAATCATATTCACATGCTCTGAATACCGGATTTCTTTAAAGAAAGCTTCTGCCCACAAGGAAAGAACCCTCCCTCCTGGCTGAAGTGTTGGGAGTGGAGGCTGGTGGCTGGTGAGAGGCTGCACCAAGAGGAGAAACCTGCTTCAGAGGCTGCTGCCAGCCCTGAGGACTACCTGTGGCAGCACTGCTCGGGGCACTCAGCCATCCCACCTCTGCATCGCCCTCCCATCACTCAGCACACGCTTTAGAGCAGCCCCTCGAAAGGAAGCGCTCAGGCAGGACCAGAGCCTGGCGGAGACCTGTCCCTCGGGCAGGGCTGCTCGGGGCTCCTGCGTGGCTGCAGCTCCCTTAACATGACACAGAGCCAGCGCTGGAGTGGGGACCCCACTCCTGGTGCTCTTGACTTGCAGAGCAAGAGTACTGTTTAAGAGTATTTTGAGATGCTCTGCAGATAACTCCGGCGCTTGCCTATGACAAATGAATCAAACCTCTTGCCTCTCGCGTTTTCATCCTGTGCTCAGTAAAGCAGCTAAATAAGCCAGTGTGGTCCATGACGTGCCCAAGTACAGCCTTACTTTTAATCCTGGCCCTTCCAGGGAATCCCTGCTAAGGCAAATCCCTGCACTCCTCCCTCTGCCTTTATTCATCTGTAACACGAATTGCAACCCATGTGTATGAACGTGCATTTGTAAAGGGCTTTGGTACGGTCATGCTCACAAGCCACAGGCATTTGCTTTACATGATACAGTTTTAGTGGCACAAATATTCAACCCAACATTAGTCACTCAGTTAGAAAGCAGCGATAAATACTGAAGACCAGGCCCTACCTGACTGGCAAGTATTATTCTTACAATGAAATCATCTGCAAAAATTCAAGGAACTACACAGGTACAGGGTTTTTTATAGACCCAAGTAAATGTGCAGGTGTACATATGTATGCAGAAAAAAGAAACGTCTGGAGAAGATCTTTAGCATGAATTTAAATTCTGAACACTTCACATACCAGGTGTATGCAACTGTAGAGCATGTAAAGACCGATTATCTATTTACTGCACTTTTTTTATATTGAACAACACTGAGAATGTCTTGGTCCAGTGAATAAGCCACTTCTGATTTTATGGGCATTTCCTGGTTAAAAGGAAAAGACCATTGCTGAATGGTCAAAAGTCAAATATGTGCTTTTAAGCAAAAATTGCATATCTTGCACAGAATAAACATTTCAGCTGCACCACTCAGGATCACTTGATGCAATGCTTTCCTTTAAACTGCTGAGGACTGTAAAGCTATTATTAGTCTTTTTTTGTCTACTTTTCTCTTTCAAAGCACTTCCTGGTATCCAGACTGAAAATACAAACGCAACCATCTTTAGTACAGGAGGGAACAAAGAGTAATTACTTGATCACATTTAAATTTCCTATCCCATGTATATTGATCTTAAAAGTGACTGACTTACAGTAACAATCCCCTCAAAATCCTGCTCATTCAGTTCCATTTCCCAATCTGAAAACACAGCAATAGTCCCGCTGTGTAGGGGTAGAGCATCCTGCAGCCCACCAAGCAACGCCTGCAGGCTGGTGCACACCCAGCCCTGGACGCCGCGGCCTGGCAGGGTCTCAGGGAGCCCTCGGAGGTGCACGAGAGCTGAAAGGGAGACTCCGGCAGCGGAGAGACGCAGCCAGCACTGGGCTGAAACCGCTTTACACTGACCACCCCTCCTGCAGGTTCAGCACAGACTCCGTGGGCGCAGGGAGTTACTCCTGACTGACACCAGCGAAAGCAAAAGTCCAGGCTTTATTAATTTAAAAATATGAGTTATAATTGTTCTGATTTAACAATTTTCAACAACATTTCAAAGTCCCAAGAACACCCTGAAGTGTGGTCAGCAACAAGCCTGGATCCCCGAGGAGAGAGAAGCCCGGGGCAGCCATGCACACTGGAGAGCTCACTTGCCTGTAACGTGGGGTGGAGGCAGCCCCCCAAGCTAAAAACCCCTGTGTGAGGCCACCACTCCCCCCCATGATCCTGATCTTCCACATCGCTGCTGAACACCCCCAGGTGCTCTTATCAGAATCAAAGCATTAATGTGCGCAAGTGCCCTATGCACAGCAATGAAGACACAGCCTAACTCACAGTGAAGAGTCTGAAGTTCAGAAAGGCAAATGACACACAGAAAAATGTAATCAGTACATAGACACAGATACAGTCAAACATGGGCACTCTGTACAGAAAAACGTCTTGTCCTATGGAAACATGTACAGCACAGCTATCCTCAGCCCTCCCTCCCGCCAGCCAGCAGAAGCAACCAGTGCCTGGGGGAAGAGGGGAGCTTCAGCCAGTCCAATATTTCTCTGTTTTGAGAAAAACAAGCATGACAGCTGCGAAACAATCCTTGCAATTACTGTCTTCGTAACTATGAAGGAGTGCTGTTTCCTGGGCTGGCAAATACAGGCTTGTTTCATTTGTCTGCTGCATGCTGAGAAGCTGCTCAAGTAAAACGTAACAGATGGTTGTGGTACTCGTGGAATAAAATAAAGGCGTGAACATCCCAACCAGCGCAAATCTACAGGGATTTGTGTAAATGTTGCAGGACACAGCACTGAAGGCGCTGCAGAAAAAGCTTAGAGGAGAGTTTCTTCCCCATCCTGGGGCTGTACCGAGGGCACAACTGCGTCCGGGTTTACATCCTATGAAACGAGAAAAACATTAGCTTTACAGAAAACATGATAAACCTTGAGCTACTGAAATACTGCTGTAACAGATTTCCTACAAGCAGATGCCAGAGTAACCAGAGAAGCCGAGTGCTGCCGTTGACCTGGAGCATCAGAGCCAGCAGTGCTGCTGAGGCTCACCTGCTGCCACCAGTGCCAGGCAGAGGAGCAGCACATGCTGGGTGACGGGAGCTGCTCCACACGGCCGGAGGGGCAAGACGACTGAGGGGCTGAGCGTTAGTGCCAGAGCAAAGATATTTGCAACGAGATTTTGGGAACAGGAAAGAATGCAGAAGCTGCCACCCAAACAGATTTATCATCCATTACCCCAGCTACCAGCAGCAGATACTGAAGGGAAGTATAAGGAACGGAACGAAGTGGTGCATCCTCTGCTTCTGACAGGGACCGGTCTGGGGACACAAACAGGCATGGCGGGCAGTGGCCGACCCACGCAGGACTCACCTCATGGGGACCGCGGCTTCTTTCACCCATGTCAGCGGCTCCTGGTGTGTCTGGGCTCTCTCCAACAGGACTGTCCTTCCTCTGCTCCCTGACCCCAGAAGCACTCCATGCGCTGTTTGAGACACCCACTACCTCTCTCTCTCTCCTGTTTTCATAGAGGCCTGACTGTTCCCCCTCGGCTTTCACTCCCTCCTGCTCTGTCCCCTCCTGCGGCCCATCCTTGCCCCTCACTGTCCATGTCCCAGGAGCTGCCAGCTGCAGCTGGGTACCCGGGCACAGCCTCTCACCTCTTGTGGACCCTCTCCCCCTCGGCTCCGCTCCCCCATCCCCACATGCAGGGGTGCTCAGGGAGGTTTCTGCCATCAGCTGCTCCTCAAGGGACATCGCTCCACATGGTTCTCCATGTCGTGGGGACAGGAGACGCGCTGTGCCCCACTCCCACTCTGCCTTGCCCTGGCCCTTGGCCCCTGCCGGCCCCCTTCCCTCACACCCCAGCACTGCCTCCTGGTTCACCCCTCGCCCGCAGGCCATGGCTCCATCAGCCACCTCTTCCCTGTCCCTCCCAGGCTCCCCGGCTGCCCTCCTTCCCTCGGCTGACACCCCCTCTGCCGCTGCCGCCCCCATCCCACTCTGACCCCCCCACACTGCTCCTGTCACCCCCTCCTGTGCCACTGCTCCGTCGCCCAGCCCGCCATCCCCAGCCACTGCCACCTCCTGCCCCACCGCCTCCTCCACCAGCACCGGCTCTCCTGCCGCCCCCTCAGCCAGAGCCCCTCGCCTGGCCTGGCCACCCACCACAGCAACAGCCACCACCCCTGCCTCCCCTGCCCTGCTCACATGCAGCCCCAGGGCAGGCAGCACTGCTTCATCCACCACCCCCTCACCAGGAGGCCTCTCCTTCCCTCTCTCTTTAGCACACTCCAGAGATCCCTCCATCCCAGCTGCCAGCTCCCTTGGACCTGCTGCTCCACCCATGACCTCCTCTCCACCTCCTGATACTCCCATCACTCCTCCATCAGGTTTTTCTTCCATTGCACCTTCTGTCTTTGTTTTGCTGCCTAGAGATGGGTTTCCACTCAAAAGTGCTTCTGCTGAGCCCTCCTCCTCCTCTGCTGTTGTGATCTCCTCCAAATGGGATGACCCTTCACTTATGGGATCCCCCCCAGCATCCACCAGTGCGTCTAATCCAGGTGCTACTTGCAATGTGGGATCCTTGCCAGGCTCCACAGACCCGTCCACTGCGTCCTCTGCTCTCAGGAGAGAGCTCCCTTCTACCTCTGATGCCTTGCCTGTCTCAGATGTTGCTGCTCCTATGGCAGCTTCCCCCATCTCCATCTGCTCTTCCCCTGATGCTTTCAGCTGGGAAAACTCATTTGGCTTTACAAAGTCTTCTCCTCCAGGCATCGCTTCTCCTGTGCAAACACTCGTATCCCCTAATGTTTCCAGGAGAGCCTCAGGCTTCTCCACAGCCTCCTCCCCTTCAGAAACAGCTTCGTCTACAGACTCTTCTCCTTCAGGGCCAACTACCCTGGCAACCCCTTCTTCTGCCAAGCTGGCATCCTCCACAGCCTCCTCTCCCTCAGACACAGCACCCACCACAACACCCCTCCCTGCAAAACTTCCCTCCTCCATGGCCTCCTCTGCCTCAGGCACCATCTCACCCACCACCTCCTTCACCAGAGGCCCTGTTGCTCCCACAGCCTCCTTTGCCTCAGAGGCCTCCTCCACAGCCTCTTCTCCCTCAGAGACCTCCCCAGCCACCTCCTCCCCCTCAGACACTGCTCTGTCTGCCTCCCTGCCCAGCAGTGCCCCTGCCGGCTGATCTCCCCCACGTGCCTGCTCTCCCAGTACTGCCTCACTCTCCGTCCCCTCCATCAGAACTTCCTGCTCCCTGGATGCCACCTCTGCGCCAGACTCCATTCCCTTCCCTGCCCCCTTTCCTTTGGGATCATCTTCTGCCATGGCGCTCTCCTCAGATGCAGATTCCTCCACTGCACGCTGACCCTCCGCCTGCAGCGCAGCCACTGCGTCTTCCTTGGGCAACAAATCTCCCGCCCATGCCATTTCTTCTCCTGCCTCTTCAGTGCGAGTATCTCCTCCCTCAGCAACAAAATCTTCCTTCTCAAGTGCTTGTCTCTCCCCTGCCATCTGCCCTTCTCGTACCACTTGTTCTGCTGCCTTCTGCGCATCAAGTGTTCTTGTTCCTTCTGCCAAGAAAGCTCCATCTGGTGCTATTAAGAAATAATCAAAACATTAGTTTTATTGAGAACTGTGTTAGTGTTAAGGCTGTTTTACAGGGTTGTTATTATTAAAGATGCTATCTCTCTCAAGCAATGAAGGGACATCAGCATGGTGATGAGAAGAAAACTTGCTGTGATGCTTCTCATCACACACCTGTGCTCTGACTATGTTTCTAGTGCTGCCGTTCTGGCATCTGGCGTTAACTAATTTAAGCAAAAATGTTGATGCATGACCAGATTTCAACTCTGACAGTTCTGCCTGCCCTGTCTACTCTCCCTCCTTCCCTCACCTGCCTAGCAGGGAGCTCAGGTGTGTGTATGAAATAGCTATAAGCTTGACAGTAACATTCAAAAATTCAGAAATAGGTGGTAAATTGCTCATGTAAAATATGCACACACAGGAAGAAGATACTCAGCTGGTCACATAAAATGGGTAATTGGTTCCCATGGATTCTGTAATTACACCAGGGGAATAATACAGGGTCGATTCCTGCCCCCTGGGAATTTAACAGCAATGCCCTCATTGAATTTGGTGCTCCAGGATCTGTCCCTGGCCAGGCACCCCCAGCAGTCTGTGCTACTGCACCGGTGTTTTGTACAAACGTGGCAGGTTCCTATTCTTTAGAAAATTAGAAGTTTTGTGCCACTGAAAGGAGCAAGGAGCAATGTCTTTCCCAAGCTACTCTTTCTCAAACTGGGCAAAGGCTGCCTTGCCCCAAATCATCTCCAACTGTTTTTGACTTATTTTACCATCTTGCACTACTGCTGCACTCCACTATTACTGCTTTTTGCTGCCTGCTTGGCAACTGCCTGTGCAACTAGACCCCATCTCTGGAATGGCAGCCAGAGAAGACTCCAGGTGACAAACAGGCCTGGAGGACACCATTTGTCCAGCCCGCCTCTGCCAGCAGAGTGGAGCTTTTGTCTGGTTTCCCACAAACCCTTCCACTGGCCTTGCTGCTCCCCACTGCCACTTTGCCCTTCCTGTCCTTCAGAGCTGGACCTGATTCACTCACGGGGCAGGTCTGCTGCAGAGGAAAGCAGAAGCTCAAGCAGCTGCAGACATCAAAGGAACAGAAGAAGAAAGGACAGGCTAAGAGAGTTTCCAGAGAGAGAATGGAGGTTGGGGAAGGAGAGGAGAAAGCACAGCAGGTTGTTTCCTCCCACCAGACCACACATCACCTGAATGCTAGACCACACTTTAAAATCAAAAACTCTACATTTTGCAATACGAGAAATCATGCGTTCATCCAAGATGCATCTTGCACCAAGTTTGTTGCTTATGTTTACTACTAGCTTTCTGTCCCTTATATTTTAAAATTTTTCTTCTTTTATAAATATACACATATACATTAATCAGTTATCAATCACTGTCATATTTTTACAGCACTCACACTGAAAATCCTACCTCCTGAATCAGGCCCACTATCAAAATCAGTAACATGTAATCATTTAAAAAAATTCTACTGGAAGTTTTGGTACAAAATGAAATAAAACATCCCAAACTGTCATCCCAACTCAGAGTTAAATATTACTGTCTCCACAAAAGTATAGTGTCTGAACTGTCCAGCTGCTAATACTGGACTGAGTCTAATGTAATGGATTTTGCCAGTCCCTGTAACATAGATGCTTTGTTCACTTTGTCTAAAAGAAACCAAATGCTATGATGTTGCGTGTGGTATAGTCTACATGTTTACCTGCTTCATTAGCAGAGAGAGGAGTTAATTTACTCTGGCTGCTGCTTACAAAGTATTCCCTTTTGTAAAGTGAGGTCTTGCATTGGATAGGAATGATAATGGCAACTGTGAAGTTGTTTCAGCATTAAAGTATTCAAAATGAGGCACCGTGCGAACCTGAGAAGTTAACAACTAGGGAAGACCACCTGCCTGGGAAGCAAACACTATTTCAACCCTGACTGGGAGGGACAATTGACACAGAAGTCAGGCTGCCCAGGAACCACGTGTTCTCTATCCTGGTCTATGCATCAGAAACATAGATCCTTGTGAAGGCCAACACATGAAGACTACTGGACTTCAAAATTAAACGTTATAGACAGTTGTTTGCGGTCAGCTGATGAGACCAAGGCAGAAGCAATCTCATCTGAGAAAGACTTACCGAGAAAAAGACAATTACTGACAGACCGGAGATGAGAAGGAACCTCCAGCCTCCTATATATACCTTCTGGATGAAAGACAACCAACCTTAAAAGACTATGTTCTTAGACTACATAGAGGAAGATCAAAAGGCTCCCAGCTGACCAGAAAAAAAACTTAAAACACCCTGGATTAATGTGCCAAAGTACAAGACAGTGCAGAACTAGCAATTTAAAAACAATATATATGACCCGTTCCTGCCAGCTGTTAGACTTAGAGGATGGAAGAAGGAAACATAAGAGCAACAGTGCAGATTAAGGTCAGCTTTAACCTCTGGTTTTCTTCTCTTTTCAGACTCATTGCTACCTTGGAGTAGAATCTTAACATTTACTTTCACTACGGCTCATTGCTGCAGCAGAATGGCTGGCTTTAATACCCCCTGTATAATATGCAAGGCTCTTCTGTCAGGAAGATCAAGTCTCCAGCAATAAACTGCTAGGGTTGCAAGGACCAGAAACATTCTTGGAGGGAACCAAGATCAAGCTGAAATTTCCTCACTGCCAATTATGCCAACTGCTAACAGGGAGATGAGTTTGGGAGACAAACAGCATGGAGACCAAGTCTGCAGTTCAGCTTCATTCCTAGTCTGTCAGTCCCATCCTGTCTGTCTTGACAATGCGCTTCCCAAGGAGGCTCCACGCTACCTGGAAGCAAAGGGAAACTCAGTAGATTCCTGCTTTCCACAGCTATTTTCTTGACTGGCAGACAGTTTATTCATGGCCCGGATTCTTTACCTAGGACCACTATAACTGCCAAAAAAGCATTAATTATACATGACTACAGCAGCCAGCTAGTCATCACCCAATTTTATACAAGTTGGGAAAGAAAAGAGCACAAGGAGGGTTTGATAGCCTAGAAAGGAAAGGGAAAGGACAAACACTATAGACTGAAGTCTTTTTATAGACTTCAGATGAATAAGATTTAATCCATGTCCCTGATTGATGGCCAACCTCACCTTCATTGGCATCATGCTCTGTACTTGTTATGTTCTCTTCTTCCTCATCTGCACGGGAATCACTAGGTTCAGGTTCAGAATCTACATGATGATCATTTCCAATTGCCTTTGCTATTTCCTCCTGGACTGGTTTGCAATCTTCAAAAACTATCACAAAGTTACAAAAGCAGAACCAAGAAAGAGAAACCATTAAAAAGCAAAAGGGGAGTAGAAGTCATTCAGCTATCTCAGCTTCGTTTAAAATTTGAAATGTTAGGGCAGACCCGACTGGAGCCATGTAAAATCTTCACCAGCAATAATTTTTTTAAGTCGATTAAAACCAAATGAAGACAACCATTAAAAATCCAAGGGAAAATTCATGCAGGAACATCTACTGAAACAAAGACCGGCAATCTTCCACAACATTTTCACAAAACAGTGAGATTGCTTTTGTCAGGCAGTCTGAGGGGAGTTCAATACACAAGCAACAACATTGTTATATAAACATAAAATTGTTATTGTTCTATGAATACTTTAAAAAAAAAAAAATCTATGTTAAGCTCCCAACTACAGTTCAGATGATTCCTCAATTCCCCAAACTAACATAAGTGACTGAAGACCTATGCTTATCTGTAAATAAGCAGGCAAGTATTTTCTGCTCTGTAAATGCAATGATTGTGATGCTTCACAGTCAAGTCATACATTTGACATTATTGTTAAGATTGTGCTATCAGTTCCATTTTTGCTTTATGACTTGCTGGATGATTATGTGAATGGCTTTCAAGCTAGTAATACTAAACAACTTCCTTATGAGCAGTATTCCAGCTATGTACACAGTCCGATCCCTTCAGCATCTCTGAGAGCTCTTCCCTCCTGCAACCCAGGCTTCTCCCTTCAAGTTCCATCAGTTTTCTGTATCTTTCCTTTTCTGTTGCAGTTATTGGCTTAGTCTTTTACAGAAAGAGCTTGCTAGTTTGCCACTGGTATGGATTGACAGCATAAAATCAAATCTCGCACTTGGTTTTATGGCCAAATGGCCTCTATTGCCGGTATACTGTGTCCATTAGGAACCACAGACCTTCAGGTACATCTCTGAAACAGCTGCCTGCTTTTGTTTGTGTTACGACTGTTAGTGTGAGACTTGATTAATTCCTGTTGCTGCTTGGATGGTGCCAGTGGTCATATGTTTCAGACTGCTCCTCTGCAGCTTGGAACAATCAAGGGAGTAACTCAGTCAATTGCTCATACTCGATACTCTTTCAATTCTTATGAGACTGATTTTTTTTATACATGTAGCTGTGTGCATGGGATTTAATCTGCCTGCTGCTTCAGTCAGTCAGGGCACTGAAAGGTCCAGGAGTGGGAGTTGTTCCCACTGGCTTGAAGTGAGGAGAAAACACTGTCTTCCCTGCCACAGTCTTGCACTCTTCTCTTCCCAAATCCCTGCCTCTCTCATGCCAATGCACACCCTGTGCTCTCTCACGTTTTTCCTGTGAGGTTGGTTTTTTCTACACTATTGATTCTGTCTTTCTACTTGCCCTTGTATATGTTATTTTTCTTCTTCTTTTCACTTTTGTTTTTATTTTTTCTTCTTTTTCCTCCTACTTTATGCTTACACCCATCCTTCCTACCCCATCAGTACCCTGAACCCACACAGCTCTGAACAGAAATGTGAGAAAATTTTTAAAAGACCATTTCAGTCTACAGTACAAAAGACACTTGCTCAGCATGAACGCCTTTTTGCCTATACCATAGGTCCTAAAGGGCAGTGATGGCTTCACTCCTTGCTGTCATATTTCACCTGGGTGAAGCGCTAAGATCTGTCTGCAAGGAACCATGAAAGTTGAGCAGGGAAGGTCCCAGGAGAGCATTTATAAGGTTCCTCCTGGGACCCAAGATCCTGACAAAGGTCTCTGTGCAATAGTGCACAACCTGCTTGAATCATTCTGACATTTCAGCTCTGCAGAGAAGACAAGAAGCTTTCCGCTCCCGGACTTCCCTCAGCTGCCTCACGCAGAGGTACAGGCAGCACTTTTCTTCGACTTGCTGAAATACCAAGTGCTTGGCTAGGTATGGCGCATATATTTTACTTTGACCTGATTATAGGCCTGACGTCTGACTAGCTGGCAGTTCCCATTCTTTGCAGTTTACTGCCTGCGTAACATTTGACAAAAGGGAATTGACAGTCTATCAAAACACAGAGCCCAGGGAAGGATGACAAACACTGCTCACAATAATTCTCTCCCTTGGGATCAGCAATATCTCCTTGTCACAGAGAGCCCAGCAAAATCAGAAAACGCACAGCAGGAGCACATCCCAGGTATTTCCATACTCCTGACAGATCCTGTCACACCACTGGTTGTGATTTGCCCAGACTTAGCCTGCAACTGAACAACCCCAGAGGAGCATTTCGCAACTTTTGCTTTCTTCAGCATATACAATTTTCTCTGATAAATTAGTCCTGCACTGTTAATGACAGCACTGGTTAGGAGAAATCCTTTCATGAGCAGAGCCTGATGGGTCTTATCAGGGCAAAAGCAAAACAGTGCTACATCAGTCTCATATAAATGCAGGCTGTATGGCTGATGAGAATGACCAGCCCTACAGAGACGTTTGTGTGAAAAAATCAGGAAGGCCCAAGAACGGACTGAGAACCAATTCTGCAGTTGCAGTAAAGGACTGAGCTCTTTCAGCCCTCTGGGTGCCTCTGGAGGCTTTTAGCCCTCAGCCTTTTGGAGGACTGGAGTAGTGGGAGTTGTAACCATCTGGTATTTCTTTTAAGACTATAGACATCCTTAAATTTTTTAATTAGAATCTTTATCATGGCAGCAACTGTGCTAAGTGCCTAGAAGAAGCTAAGACTCCCATGTGATATTTGTTACCCCACAATATTCCTTTAACGTGCTCATTATATCTCAAAAAGGGTATTATCTTTTTCTTTCATTGCTCTACACACAGTTTCTTGGCAATTCTTTATTTACGATGAATTTTACCTAGACAACTCCCATGTAGATGGGGAAAAATCTGTATGCGATTTAGGAAGTCGTTCCTATCTGTAATTTTATGATTCAATGATTTTTCTTGTCCTTCCTTGATCTGCACTGTCCCTGAATCTCAGGTAGTCTCCTGGCAGCAGAGATGATGCAGGACTTGACTAAGAAGTAAACGCTGTTACCTACATAATATTTAGACAAGCTATCTATATCTGATAGAGGATCTCTGTTCAGACCTGGAGCCATGAAACCACGTGTGTTGAATGTAAGCACACAGGAATTTATGCTAATAAAGAGCAACGCTATTGTCTTAGGCTAACTCAGTACCAGATTACTAGCTTGACACATTCAATTGATCTTTCCTTAGTTTTGTATTACAGCACAATATTCTGTCCTATAGCTTTTTAAAGTTCGTTCTTCTTCAGTAGTCCTTACTCAACTCATCTGAGCCTAGTGGTGAAGGTGCTTAAATTGAAGTTTCTTTCATACAAGTGAAGAGAGGGGTTCCAGAAGCAAACATCTTGGAAGACTTCAGCATTATTCAATGAATAGTATGTTACTGTCTTTACTGTCTCAATTCTGAATGCATAACAAAGCAAAAGCAATGCACAAGACAGTCAAAGTAACCCAGCAGCAACAGACCTGCAAAGCATTAAGCACCAGCATTCAAATCGTTTATTCCACACACGGCTATCTTAGATAGATGCACTGCAATGCACAGAGAGCAACAGAAACAGAACCAAAAATTTCTATTAAAATAAAGGAAAAGCATTTTACATTCCACTGCAAATCCAGCACACAGAAAGACAACTGGTGATTTCATGTACCATGGCTTGTGGCTTTCCTTTACACCAGCACCAGTGCAGATGACTTCTTTTATACTGTCTGATTTAACAGCATTCAAGACATTTCCCCCATGACCTGGACAGCATTGCAAAGCCATTTTTTCCCATTCCCCAGATATAATAATGCAAAGCCTTCCCCATGTGGCCAACCTTTTATTAACTGCCTGTTATCCATAAAGGTAAGGTTGAAACTGCAAGATGCCCATTTTATCAACAGCAAAAACAAGGTGTCACACAACTAACTGATTTGCTCCTTGCCAACAAATACATCACAGAGCGAAGCAACACAACAATGGATCAACTGATATACTTTTGATCTTCATCTGCTGCACCATGACTCACATTGTAATTTTTGGTGTTCTTTTTGAATCTAGTATTTTGACATTATAAACAGAGTCCCCCAATGTGGCATACAGATTCTCCTATACGTAAATAAATCACATTTGGATTTTATAATAATGGCATGATATGTGAAACCCAACTACTGGAGTAAAAAAGAATAGCCAAAGCCTTACACTGGAAACACTAGAAAAGAAATAATGAACCAAGGTTACATTCTGCGTGGTTATTCAGCTCACAGCAGTACAGAGTATTCTAGTAGCTTGAAAACAGTCCAGCAACTGCATTCCCCATGCTGCACCATGACTTAGTATAAAGGCAACCACAGCAACACCTGCGTGCACTAGTCACGCACAGTTGTGCAGAGGGACTGTACTCACCACCTTCTTTGTTGCTCTGAGGAGATGCTTCGTTTCTATCCTCCACTTCTGTCATATCGCTTTCCAAAGGCACTAGAAGACTTTCCTGCACATCATCTGTCCTGGTACTTGCATTCTTCGCCCCATCTTCCCCAGTGTTACTTTCTACTGACCCAGCCTGCTTGAGTTCCCCATTAACTTCAGGACTTTGATGCTGTATTGCCATTATATTGTCATTTTTATGAAAAATTCCAGTATCTTCCCTTGCTGTTAGATCTTCTGGTTTCACCTTTTCTGCTTCATCTATTCCTTCCTTTTCCAGTGTAAAAGTTTCCTGGTTTTCCTCCATTCTGAGCAGTTTATTCTCCCCGTTCTCATCTCTATATTGTGCATGTGCTGCATTATCAGATGCCCTTTTGATATGATACTCCTCTTTGCCCTTAATATTGTCTTTCGTCGTTTCAGCATGAGAGTCATCTTCACTGCTACACTGAGTACTGATGGATGAGAGAGGGTGTGCAGGCCTCCTATCTAGAAATAGCAAACATAATTTTGTTTTAGTATTTGTCACTAAAACAACTGCATTCATTGGCCACTAGTTCCCTTTGCTACGCACAAAGGGACAGACACTCATCTGATATCAATCTCTGAATTACACCGTCTGAGGATATCATGACAAAATTCCAATAAGTGTAATAGAAGAACATTGCCCAGATGTGCCAAAGTGTTAAAATCAAAGCCATTTAACATATTGTTTTCTGATAATGGAAATGAACCAGATTAGCTCCATCAATCACACAGAAATACACCTCCAAAAACACCTCTAAATATGACTCAGACAGGTTTTAGGAGAGTTTCTTGAGCTCCATTTCATAAAAGATTTCAACCATAGCAACAGTCCTTTAGTGCACTCCTGTTATCTCCATGAATATGATAAAGATCTCCAAAATCATATGTAAACCATTCAAGTTGAACTGGAGATGAAGTTCACTGTCTCCTCTAAAAAAAAAAACATACAGGGACCATCATATGAAATTCATAAATGGAAAATTTGAGGGGAAAAAATAAAGCAATAATGCTTCATCTAACATTTAGCTGAACGGCAGAGCTTACTCTACACAGCATTGCTCGTGTCCAAAGTTCGCATGGGTTCACGAAGAGGTTAGTCAAACTCAAGGAAGAAAAATCCAGTTAAGCCTAACAAGTAAAAGGGACAACCCTTGACACCAGCTAATTACAGGGGTGGGAAGACACAGTGGGGAAGCAGCACAGTATTCTTGCCCTTTTCTTTTATTTTTCCTAGGCATCCGCTGCTGGCCAAAGGCCAGAGGTAGAATTTGGACCCACGGTCTGTCCCTGAACAGCTATTCTCAGAGCCACAGAAGCCCATCTGTGCCACACTGTTTCTTCCTGCAGCCACAATCTTCCAGCAGCCTCTATGCTGCTTCTTCCTCTGTGGACATGAGGAAGGCTCATTGCAAATTTTTTGGAGTATTTTAAATTATCCTTTTCATCTGCAATGTATTACAAAAACTTTGCGGGACTGCTTTTAAAAAAAATAAACTCAAATATGGAAGCTAAAATTTCCCTAAAATGTATCAACTAATCCCATCAGTTTTAAAACAAGAACAAATAAGGTGTGTTTGAATGGAAACTGCAATTCTAAATTAATGGACTGCCTTGTATAGATGCCAGACTATCAATTCAAGAAAATGCCTTAATTTTCCTTAAAAGTAGCAAAGGAAAAGGAACAAAGTGCAACTCCACCTCCCAGCACGCTTTAATGGTGGTGTGAGGAAGCTGCCTGCCTCTCTGGGGAAGTTATTCAGGCATACGTTCATTCTAACTTTGACATCCTCCCAGGGATTGGCAGCCAGGATAATGAGCGGTACCAAATGTGAGGTGGATGTCCATCCTCTAGGATCTCTACTGCAACGGATTTCAGGCACAATTACTGGACAGCCACCACCTGGTAATGACTCTCAGTCACTTCCAGTCTTCACTGGACTTGCACCTGTGTTCTAACAGTAGGTATGTTTAGACTCCCAGAAAACATCATCACTCCTAAAGACATTTATAAGAATATAAACAAGCAAGTTCAGAGACAGAACAACTCAAATATGCAGTTTACATATTGTACTACGGAAAATGTCAGTGATTCTTTTTCCAATTTATCCACAGACTTATGGTCCACAAGGATTTGAATGCCAAGGTCTCTCTTACATGTTTATTATTTATGTCTGATTCATAATATTGCATGCAAAAGTAACATCTTTGGCACCTCAGTTATCTGGATATTATTCTAAAACTCTGTATGCTGGCTGAACTGACCCAAGGGGCCTAATGAATTCAGACACTCTTGAACAAGTGTAATGATACACTGAACTAAGATGAGACAAAATCTGTCCGCAGCATGTACTCATAAAAATCCAGATCCCATTACTATTAGCATGTTAGTACTATTATAGCAGCACTCACAGGTTACAAGTGGATTAGTGTATTGTTTACTGAAACACAAAAACATAGTGTCTATGCCCAAAAGCTTCCTATCCAAAATATTGGTCTACCAACACTTAACACACATGCTTAACTGAAATCAAGTGAGTTCTTGACAACAAAATAAAAACAAAAAGAAGAAAAAAAACACAACAAGGCTGGAAGCAGGACTTTCCTAAATGTTTTAGCTGAACACATTCTGCTGGCCACCTAGCTGTGTATGTACATACCACAGAGGAGCAGAGTGATTTCAGGGGTCTGAGTGGCCATGGAAATTAACAGCAGCCACAGGTGTTCAACAACTTTGTAAATGAAATCACTTATGTGCCAAAAGACAAACTCAAGAGCTGAACTCTAGGTAACAGATCTAAAAACCAACACAGCTCTGTTATCCTCTGCAAGCCAAGAGAAAATGAGTTTACTATCACTAGCATGATGCCCCAGTAACGCTTCCCACAAAGACCCATTTTACCAGATCAAACTAGCAAATGTCCATGTTGACTGACTCCAGGAGACATGTGAATAACAGATTCACAGTTTTAACCTTGACATCTCTAACTGCAGAGATCAAGTCACGAGGCGTTTGTATAACTGAGGGCTTGACAACTCACACTCAGTTGTAAGCCTTGCCAGTCCAGAAGGCAACACAGTTTTAAAGCAAGGGGAAATGGGGCATACCTTCAGGCTATGAGATACAATAGCTAAGTAACTCCCAAAACAGTTTTCATGGGCCCAACATTATTTAATGAAGATGAGACCTAGAAACAGTATATATAGATGGCAGTAGGGCTACTTTGAATGCACACTACGATACATCTACACTACCAAAGAGGGAAGGACCAAGGTTTGATTTGCTGTAATCTGTTACAACTCCAGGATCGCACATCCGCATCCTATCGCAGCTGGCAATGAAGTTCATGCTAGCTCCCAGCCCTCGGCATGCACTCCACGTGCATAGCATTAGACGCTGGAGGATCTTGCATGCACACTGCAAAAGGGCCTCAACCTTGATTCTGTCACACAGAAAAGAGCATTGAGGACATCAGTGGTGCATTTTTGTGTTCTGTGCTTGACTCCGTGAGTAGATGCAAAACAAAAGTGCACCTAAAATGAACTCATCTTGTGGACTAAATTGCTGATGTAGTAACACCCTATTTATGCTAGGCCTTGTCACTAATACCAGACTCTGCAAGGTGCACTATGGAGCATTGAACTTTACACCTCAGCAGAGCCTTGCATTCAATATTGAAAAATATATAGTCACAGAATTTCACACAAATTAGGCATTCGTGGAAGGGAGAAGAGGGAGAATTCCTTCTCTAACTGTGGCTTCCAGTCATGTGCCATCCATATGCCAGAACTGTAATCCGTGCAGAACAGCATGTTCAGAAAAACATGTTCTACAAAGAAATCTTACAACCACAGTTTAAAGAATCCCACTCAGAGTACCACTCCTCCACCATTAGAAAATTCAAGGGGCTGAGGAAGGGACTCCATTTACAGACATTTCCCCTGAGACAATATATTAATTTCCAAACCTCTCTGTCATAACTAGATACCTGAATTGCCGCTTCCCTAATGTAAGTGTAAAACAGGTGGATATGCTGTCTTGGAGAATTTGTAAATGTAAACATAAAGAAGGGGAAAGAACTGCTTAAGGATGTGCAAAGAGGCAAAACTAAAAACAATGGAGTTGAGTTAAAGAAATACCTTTGTAATAATGAAGATCCAGAAAAATCTTCCACTGTTGAGACTTATTAGGCACGTTAATAATCTCCTAATAAAATGGAACTAGTAGTTGCTACTAAAGTTGCTTGAAATATTTCCACACGGACTATTTTCAGAGAGTAAGCGTACTTCATTCAAACAGAAAGCTCTTCTTGTCCTCAAAATTACCAACGAATTCTTATTTTTTGTAAATTTATTATTACATCTCAGTTGGCAAAAGCCCACATCTTTTTTATCCCTTCTCTCCACGGTGGTGGGGAAAAAAAAAAGTACAAAAAGTACAAACTCTTCCTACAATGAATTTCCTATTCATGCAGAAGGAAATGCCCTGCACCAGTTTGGGTTCCACTGTTTACTGCTTGTAAACACATTCTGTGCAAGCGCAACGGAGTAGATACCAACTGGTTTCTGAATTCTTCTACCACCCCAAGAGTAGAAATCTCTTTGAAGATTAATCACTACAGCCAGCACAGAAAGATCATCCCGACCTTCAAACTTAAATGCAAACTCCCTAGAAATCCAAAATTCCAGTGATCTGAAATGTCACCCAAAGCTAGCAGTAACCTTAAAACATCCTTACCTAATGTTACAGTCTACCGTTTACTAGTGCTAAATAAGGACTGCAGAACTCCTTCAGGCTTCCTGCCCTGAGAAGAGAAATGTTGTAAGCACTGCTCCTCTTGTTGACAGTCGTTTACACCTACGGGGAGCAGTCAAACAGAGCTCAAAGTACAGAAAAAATGCATCACAATATAACCAACGATCACAAAAAAGGCTTTTCTACCAGTATCCCTAGCTCCTAATCCATGCCTCGTCCGTTATTTATTGTACTTACATATTTAGACTTCTAAAAGCCCCTCTAGGTCCCCGTCCAGTATTTGGGTAAGCACTCCTTACACTAAAATACCAAACGTCTAATTAGAATATTACCTGTCTCTTCCTTACATCCTCAGCAAACACAACAGGGAAAATGAAGTAAACCCAGCTTCTCTGCCTCCTTTCTCCAAAAGTCACGGAGAAAAGGTTAAGAAGTTACAGCTCACGTGGGCCAAAGGCAAAACTGACTCCAAGTCGTAAGCTTCTCAAGAAGCACTTCTGAAAACAGCTTCCCTTATTTCCACGGAGGCAAGGCTGCTCAGCACCAGACACCCATCGCCCACTGCTGATTGCCAAATGAGATGCAAGTAATAACTGATGAACACTCTATTAGTGTGCTGATGTAAAAGACAGAGGCAGCAAATCAGGCTGCTAAGAAAGAAGATTAAACCTGTCTTATTTAAAACCACAGAGAATGTAAATGATTTAAACGCATGTCCTGAGCTAGTGCAGTAAAGGCGAACAAAGCAAGCCATCAAGCCACAGCAAATACAAATTGAAAAACATTAGCAGTGCCTGCCAGCTGATCGGGAAGGAGCCCCTGCCTAGATGACTAGCTGTTTTACACTGTTAGCTGCTGATGTTAAATGTCCACATTTCAAGATTTGGTGGCTTCGCAACAGCCTTTTCTCCTCATCATAGAAAAAATTACATTGAATTAGTAAGTTTTGGTGCATGCGGCAGTATTACATCCTAGTACAAACAAAGTTGACTAAGGGTGTCCCTTAAACGAAGGCCTTAATGCATAGGTATCATGAAAGGCCCTTACAGTCACCTGTTCCTTTCCACCTATGCACACATATGCATCCACACACTTTCAAATGATCATCAAACACTGGTAGAGCTTGAAAAGCAGCTGACGAAAGTCACAAAAAAGTTCATAATGCCACACACTAACAAGCAGAAAAGAATGCTTAATTAATGATTATTCATGAATCACAAGCTATTTCTGATCATCATGAGAAAACAAAAGTTAAAGAATCTTTTTGATTACTGCAATGATTTTATAAGCAAGGGTATTTCAAACCTGATTTGAATTTCTGTTGGATTTTATACTTTCTATTAAAAAAAAGAAAAGAAAAAAAAAAAGAAAAAAGCTGCAACCTTTTCACAAACAGCTGTATTACCTTTGTTGAATTCACCTAGAAATACAAATGTGAAAGTAATGTTTCCCTTTAACTTGAGAAACACTTTGCACAATAGGACTGTCAAATGTAAGGAAGATAAAGTAGTTAATTTTACAACAGCAGTAAATGGAGAAATTCTGGTACATTATGACAAGCAAGAGGCACATAGGTCAGCTCAGGATCTAACAAAGCCATAGAGGAGAAACGTTAGAGAGAAATAAAACACTGTGTCAGAAGGAAGAGGCAGTTCACTTTTGGTTTATTCACCACGTGGTGGATGGAATTCTATTGTTTGTCTAATAAATGATAAATTCCCTGCAAGTTTTCTGTGGGATTATTTATGAGGATGCACAGCTTGGATTGCATGAAGGCAATAGTTAAAACACCAGACATTAAGCTGATCCAAAAAACTGAATGACAGAAAATGCTACTTATTCTACAAAAATTTATTCCAGAAGAGTTTAATCTTTCTGAATTAATAATAATAATGGTGTTGGACACTTCTAAAATACAAGGTGGTACATTGGGTTTCCTGGTGACTTCTCAGATAAAAGCGCATCTCCTCAGCAGGTGTAAGTGGTCATAGCTTCTCGGATGTCAGTGACCACTGACATGAAGTGCTGATCTACCCCAAGTATTTAGAGCTAATTTGCTGACTGGCTCCATCTCCATTTCTGCAACTAAATAGTTCAGCAATGTCTGCTGTGAGCTGGCACACACTTACATTGCCAGTGGGTTTGGCTGTATTTCAGTGACAGATGGTAGGATTAATAAGAACAGATAAAATAGCTATATTTTACCAATTCAGTAGGAATTGCATGGTTTTTCCTATGTAGACTCACCATACGTACTGGACATGCACAAAATGTAGAACATGCATCAGGTCAACTTCTCTAAGCTTCAGTATGAAAAAAAACTAACCTTGTTTATCATCCTCTGAGTCACTGTCAGAATATCCATCACTTTCATCTTTTTCACTGTCAGAGGCCTGCAGTGCCTTCTGTGATGAGTTTCTACTCTCCTTTTCATAGTCTAAATTATGTTTTTTATCATCTGAGGATGACTTTGACATTCCATTCATTTGATCACCAGTCTGTCCCTCTTCATTAACTTCATCTGCTTCAAAATCTTCATCATACTCTAAAATAAAAGAATCATACTGTGAGACAGGAAACAGAATTCAAAACTAATAGAGTTCTTTTTAAGCAGACAGAGGTTAACTTCATTAATCTCCTTTTGCCTTTGCATTTGCTCAGTCATTTTAAAGCCATGAGAGAATCTAAGACCACAGATAGGAATCATAAGAGCACATTATCATAAAAAAGCATCATATTCTTCACAGAGTAGCAAAAATGCAATAAAGCTACTGAATGATGCATCAAGTATGATTAATACACTAAAAACAAAACAAACAAAATCATTAGCCGCTGAAAGGACTAGAAAAATTAAGAGCTGGGCAAACTCAGAAATAAAATGCAAGACAGTCTCACTAGAGGAGAAAAACTTGTTGCAATGAAAAAAAAAATAAAAGCAATAGAGAAAGCTGGAGAAAGGTAATATATTATAGCACAAAGTAAGGTAAATGTGGATTGACATGGCTAATTAGCAAAGAAGTGGCTTACAAACTAAATGAATTAATTAAATCCAGCCAAAGGGTGCTGCGGAGGAACATTCTGTTATCACACTGTTCTAATATGCTCATTCAGATCCCCGGTGAAATCCTAGTACAAACGAAGCTTACGGCAGAATTACCATCCTTATATCAACATGGTCTGGATTTCATCCCAGGCTACTAGCTTGACAAGCTGTAACATTTGATAGATAACTTTGCTCAGATCTATAGGTAAAGACTGTCTTCATGCATATGCATTAAAGAATCCTTCCCTTTCCAGCCAAGGCTGCACTGTTTAAAATCCCAGGCACCAGCATGCACAGTGATGTCAGTGATTTCCATTTAAAATTCAGTAATTCCACTGCTACCACTAGCTCACTGCACATGCAGCAGAGAGGCAACAAACCTAACTTGTGAAGGAGCGCTGTCACTGCTGACACACCAGCTTTCCTCGTGGCCATAATTTCTCACCTTTCAGATTTTATTGCTCACCTCTTTTTCTTTCCATCAGTGTTTCTAAAGTACTGAAGTGACAGAATGCCAAGGACAGAAATGAAGAGCATCTGATGCAGAACCAATTAGGCAAATAAACAATTACCCAGGCAACAAGAATTAAGGGAATAAGGAGATTTATTTTCTGTATTAAAAATCAATTGAAATTCCAACTGCATTGTTGGAAGCGAGGCCTCCCTAGGTAACTGTCAGAAAGGTGCTCACCTCCTGGAAGGAAAAAGGCTTGATTAATCACAAACAGACATCCACAGGGACTAACGAGGAAGCTGAGCAGTAGCACTGCAGAATTATGAAAGTAAAAATAGGAATTAGGAATTAAAATCTTTCTCTAAATTTGACTTACTCTGAAAAAGGCTTTATAATAAGGAGTGAGTGAAGGCACAGGCTGAGCTCACCGTCTCTTCCCATAGGGGCAGGCAGAGCTGTAAGCAGCCTGATGGCTAAAGGGACTGGCCTTAGGTGGCACTGGGGAAATGGCACATTCTGAGCATGCAGTTGGAGCTGCCATGCATCATTTTTATACCACAAATATTATCTTTGTCTGCCAAAAGAAACACCCCTTGGGCAAACTTTCAGCAAGGACAGCCTCTCTCCAGTCTTTCTTTTTAAATCTGTCAACAGAAAAGATGAGACTCAAGCAAAAGGGGCAAGGTCAGCCAGCTACAACAGGCAACGGAAGCATTCAGTAACGGGAAAGAACGATAGCCCCAGCAGGGTTGGAGCAGAGAAGGCAAGAAAGGAGAGCTGGTAGACCTGGAGCAGAGGGAACAAATGCTCAGGTAAGTGAGGAAGCTGGAAGTTTGGGCAGGTGTCAGGTAAGCAGTGCCTGGGACAGTGTGGTGGAGAAGGGACTGGAAAGAGCCTTAGATGAAAAAAGCATCGCACTCCCACTGGCAAGAGACAGGAAAAAAAGACCAAAAAAGTTCATCTGGCGCTAAATCTTGCTGACATTTTGCTGCTATGTGCTCTTCCCACCTTCCTTCCCCTTCTGCACCCAGCATTCAGCCTCCTCCCTTTCACTGTTCGTCCCTCCCTCCCATCCATCTCGCAGCAGGAGGCCTTTCCTCCTCCTGCCCCTATCGTCACCATCCTCTCTCCATTCACCTTATGCTGATGTCCCATCTCCCTTAGGAGCTCACCTCAGATTCACTGCCTCCCTACCCATACCCAGTCCCATTTCTTCCTCCTGCTCTACTTGTCCTCCACCTGCTGCCATTCTCCTCCTTTACTGTTGTCGCTTCACTGTGCCCCACTTTCCTTCTGCTTTCTCACCTATCTCAGGCTCCTGTTTCAGCCTCTCAGACCTTCCTTACTCACTTTCCTGGCTCTTGCAAAACCCTCTCATCCTATTGCTTGGCTGAAAGGAGCCCCACTAAGTTCATTGCCCAGACACAGGCATCACCACATTTCTCACACATGAGGTGTCTTAAGAGAGGATGCTCCAGGCGAAGTTGGAGGCCTACAATCCCATACCTTCTCTAGAATCATCGTCTCCCATTTTTCACCCCATGCTTGTGTTTTGGAGTACTGTACCATTTTTACCGGTGTCTTCCTGACTATCTTCACTCTCACGATCAGACAGTTTTTTCCTTTCTTCTTTTCTGTACTCCTGTCCGGTCTCCATTTTGTCCTCAATAGTTTCCACACTCACTTCATGACCTGGTAAGATGACTAACACTGAATCTTTGCTTGATTTCTGCTCAACACTGCTTTTACTTGGCTGATTGCGCACTCCATCTCTCCAGGAACCCACATGCTTTTCCTCATGGTCCTCCATCTTTCTCTTGGGAGGGGATGGCTTCTTGTCCAGACCCATTGCAATAATGCACCTATAAAAAAAAACAAGGAGAATTGGAAAGTATCATATTTTTCTTTCTGTGAACAATGGAAAGGCAGCAGATACATTGAGCTATTTAGCTCATTATCAGCAGTAAACACAGGTACGTATCTGCCTCTGCATTGCCACTCAGACAACAAGGTTACTGATAATAACTTACTTTGAGAAGCACCCTAAAATCCTCAAGTGCTCCACATATACAGATGCAGTTCCTCCTTGAAGGAGAGTAACGCTGTCTGCACTTAAAGGTGACAATTGAAGTATAAACAGATTGAAATCAAAATTATCATAACTGTCCATTAATTTCAAGCTACACCAAGCATGATCTGTGAAGATATAATCACTGAGAAAGGCAGACAAGCTCCAAGTAAGAGGTGTGCTTGATCCAGATCCTGCTGTTAACACCCAGTAAAGTGATAACCCAGGTTTTGTGGATAAGACTTTTTTCTTTTTTTTAATTTGTCTACTGGGTCCAATAACTGCAGGGGAAGGAGGAGATTGAAATTGAATTATTTTTTGTTTCTGTTCTGTTTTTCCTACCCAACAGAATCCCAAACAGTTAGAAAACAAAGCATTTTGAATGACTTGTTAAGACTGCTCCTCTTGTATAAAATGGAGTAACAGACTCTCTATGTTACAGTTAGGAGGCTCGTGTATGAGACCAGAGTTCCTGCTCCTGATTAACATTAACTGCAGACAAGAAGAGCCACCTTACACCACCCATGAGTGTCAGGACATTGTGCTGTATGTAGTACATCGATTCAAATCTGCAAGCAGAGGATGAAACTGCAACTGGAACTTTCACTTTAGCTAATCACAAGTCTCTCTGGAAAACCGTATTTTCTTCACAGACAACTATGTCTTAAAAACTTTTCCTCCACCAAAACTGCTTTTTTATGTAAGGCTTGATTGCAATTCCCCTCACATTCCAGCTGTTCACAAATCACTGTGAAATATCCTACAGTCATTCAGTCTAGAAATCCTTTAGTTTTGCGGGCATAACATGTAAATGTGACAATTTCTGAAAAGAGCCCTACCTTTTAATTAATGTCCATGGCATTTTTTTCAGGGACATTTTTGATATTGAAGCAATTCTACTGTACTGAAATGCTGGACCTAGGCCAGCAGAAAACTCTTTGCGCAAAGTCACAACATCAGTGTAGAAATCACTGCGGCATCACCTCTTTGTGAACCAAAGCCTTAACCCAACAGGGAAAATCAACTGGGATCTTTACTGAGAATCAGAGTGGGTATTTAATGTGTGGACGTGGTGTCATACTCAAAACAGGAAACAAATGCAACTGCATTTGACGTGAAGGAGACGTGAAAATAGCTGTCATTTATGGGGAGAAGCTGGTTAATGGAGACGTTTTTTAGTCACCAGATAAGGTTGGCTGGACTGACCAGAGACAGGAAAACAGAGATATCACTAAGAATAAGAGGGGAAGGTGGACAGAAGGTGGGGACAACTCAGGAAGAAATTAACCAATTTCTGGACACTATATTAATTCAGAAAATTCACCTCAAAGTCTCTCTAGAAATCACTCAAAAGCTGAGATTTGGGCAATTCCTAAACTCTATAGCCACTATACCCATTCTGAATTCAGATGCTTTTCACTACTTTGAACATACTAAATAATGCATTTACATAAATCATGTTCAATGTTAGATTGGAGTAGAAAAAAATATGGTACAATAAAGTAGATTTTTTTTCTTAGAATTCGGTCCTTATCTAAAAAATAGAGTATAGCTCTGTGGAGGTTCTCTTCTTCCAACTGCTTGCTGCCCTTTTAAAAATTACTTACAAAAAGAACAAAAACGTTTTAAAATTATCTGTGTGTGCAGAAGTTTACTTGTCTGGCATGACTTAACAATCACACAAAAGGAAGGAAGATTTTATTAAAATTAAAGCTTCTTGGCAAAACCACAGCTGTTGCTCACAGCATTGACTCTTGCCCAAAACCAAGAATCTTCTGCACAGATTTGTTGTCTGAAACATGCCTAACATTCAATATTGTCTTATTCTGCCACCAGGGGTCTAACAGCAGAATCCCACCTTAGAGGCAGAGCTGTTTAAAAATTAATTATCTTGTTCTCACAATTCAAAGAAAACCCTGAAAACTACAGTTAATTCAGCAGCACTCTTGATATTTATTTCACTATCACTTCCACCAGAAACATGCAAGTGGCATATGCATACCACCCCACACCTATTCCTCCATACCCGACTGTTGGGGAAGTGCTGACTGCCCCCTGACAAGCTGACATATCTAGTGCAAACATTGTCCACTGCTGCGCGTACTCCACACAGTAACTGAAGAGGCAGCACAAAAGCAGCTGACTTTGATGGCATCCCTGGATATGGGACCCTGAGGGATAAGCTCAATGCTGCACATTTATTTCAAGGGGCGCTGAGAAACAGACAAGGTTCTACAGAGCTGTGGGGTGCCAGAAAGATTAAGAAAGAGGAAACAAGTGATAAACTCTCTAAAAAAACTGGGCTGCTAAGTCCTTGTGAGCAAAGTGTATTCATCTCCATACCTGTAGCAAGGAGATGCTCCCTCCACATTGAGAAAGCCAAAGTATCCATGTCTGCCTCCCAGCCTGGAACGCTTCTGATGTTTGTACTCACAGCAACAGCTCAACCTGTCCACTTGAATCCCATTGAGAAAAAAGGTGAGGCTGAATGGGAAACCATGGTGCCTCTTTGAGACGAACTGAAAGGTCTCTGTAATCACAGACAGGAAAGGGTTCAAAGAAAAAGGTTATGCTTTACTGTCAGCCTGTTGCAGTTGTTGTATCTCATCTGCATCACCACCAAAGCACCCAGCCCTCTGAGGTCAGGTACTTCGGTTCTCGGCTGTATGAATTAGTTGGTAAAACACTACCTCTTCCCCACACAACAGCCTTGTCTCTTTCCAACCCAGGAGTACCAAGCTGGACACACCTGTGACAAGTGAATACATCATCAGTTTGGCTGCTCACTGCTACAGCGGAACAGAGGCCAGAGCCTCCCGTCTCAAAAAAATTAACTCTTCCACTTGCCTTACAGGAGTGTACATTATACACAGAAAGTTTAGGATTCCTGGCACGTGTCTACATTGTGCAGTGCAGCAGTATGTTGGAGTTCCTGCAGTGTAATGCACACATTCCTCAGTGCAGCACCTTGCAGAGTGCAATCAGGCTCCAGATCAGTACAGCTGCCATATTAGTGGCAATTTCCTCTTCCCAATTTCCCAGAACACAATTCCCATTTTACTGGTGTGGTGGAATCGCACTCACATAAGAGAGATGGGAATTGGGCTCCCACTGTGTACTTCTCCTTCTAGAATAATAAGCAACATGCACTGATGTACTATAGCAAGTCAGAAACAGATAATCCCTGTTTAAGGACAGTTTACCACTACAACTACTTTATTAACCATACATCTCTATACAAAATTAATCCAAGCTACAGTATTTTGTTAAATCAGTTCTCTACATTCATTCTACCATAATTTGCAAAAGTAATTGTAACCTCACTTTCAATCATGAAACAGTAGATCCAGATTTAGTGTGGAAGCAGATGGTATAAAGGTCCCTGGATGCATATATCTTGACTGAGCTCAGCTGAAATCATTTTGATATCACATCAACATTTTAGCAAAAAAAAAAAAGATGTTGCCAGAATCAATATGAACTCTTTGACTCTTTATCCTTACCTCCTTCCAACAGCTTGCCTTTGTAGACACAAAGGTTTTCTCCTCCACAATGCTGCTGATAGACTTTGATTTCATCTCTGTAATCAGCATCATCATGAGATAAATGCACACTTTTCCCTAGAAAGACCATGGTAACAAATGCGTTGCTGCGTAACGAGGGCTTAGGGAATCCTCCAGAATTCTGCAGCAGGAAATACACAAAAAATGCATTCATGTTTTAACTGTAATAAAGGGTGAACACAAAGATCATGTATGTGCAGCATCCTACACTTGAGACTTCCAGTCTTTTAAGACAGGCCTTGAGCTGCGTAAATTGGAAAGTGTTTTGTAACATGCAGGAGGGCAGAAAAACATTTTGGACTGAAAATCCATTGCATTGAATTGCCCAAAATTGCAGGGACCAGGTTTAATGACCCATATTGTCCCTCCCAATCCTGGGTTCCTACAATTTCCTTTACAGGAGTCAAAACTGGCTGGAGCTATAGTGTAACAGATGAAGTTTTCATACACTCAAGGCATTTCAAATATCCCTCTGAAGTTCTGGTACTAGATATGTTCAGAGACAGGATCACATTGACTAAGATGGAAGGCTTTAAATAAGAGTTGCTATGTTTTTGCTGTTCAAGCACCTTTTTTTCCCCCCAACTGATGAAAAACATCAAGTGTTTTAGTATATAGAGAGATGGGTGGCGGTTATATATTTTAATTGTTAGAAATTTTCTTTCTTTCAAAAATTCAGTGAATCTTTGTGTAAACTAGGTATACACATCTTTCAGCATTAGGCGAATACATCAATGAGGAAGGTAGTATACCTATACATAAACTGAGAAGCAGACAGAGATAACTTACCTTTGTTAAAAGTTGCTCTAAGCCATTTGGGGCAGCGGTGGGATGAAATCGTCTGCCTCTGGGCATCCCATTTCTCACTGCGTTTACATTCTTGTCTCCTTTTTGCAGGGGGGGAGGTGGCACTGGTATCACATAACTGTTAATGACGGGGAGTTGATATGGGGATATACCAGTCACATATTCCACTGAATTCATAAGTCTTAACCCACTTCTCTCTCCCTGCAAAAACATTTTAACCAGGTTAAATAGGTTATGCAAAAATAGCTACCAAGCATATTGAACTAACCACGGTTTGACTGCTCTTTACATTTAGCAATACACATACTTCTAGAACAATTCCTTAACTTGGTGCTTGTAATTTTGTTCATGAAAATATTTCTGTGCTAAACCCCTTTCTTTTAAGTTGCAAAGCAATAGGCAGATTGCTTGAAAATGTCACCCTCATAGATATATACAACATTGTAAACCATGTAATACTTGTAACCATGCAGAGTTCTGATCACAAGCAGACAGAATACTGCACAACCCCACAGCACTGCTGCATTCTCTCAGCTGGCAAGCAAATTCCAAAGCAGCCACAATCTTCCAACAGTAACATCATTTGGCATCAATTATACAAGATGTGATTCAAAACCCTCCTTTCCCATTTGTACTGGAGGTTTAGTCCTCCTTCAGGAAGAAATGCAAACAGAGAACCAGTGCCTGGAAAGCGAAACATCTCTAGAGAATAAATTCTGCAAACATTGCATGATCTGGATCTGATTTAGCTGTTTTATCAGTAGCGAGCATTAGAGAAACCATTTAAATCACCCATAATTTGAGTACACATAGATAATGCCAGCAAATTCTTGGAGAAAGGATCATGAACCTCACAATACAGAGCAAATGCATAGCAGAAGGGAGCTATTCATACAGTGTCTGCCAGTCAGGGGTAGCAGGTCGCAGTCCCATTCCAAAATCCTCGTCCCATGGAATTCCTAACACAAAGCCAATTACATAATGTTTTTCTAGAACAGAAGACAAGTCCAAATCTCACCTGAAAATATCTGCGTACATATCAAGATCATGTTTGGCTACTCCAGAAAGCTCTCACTCTCTGAGCCCACTAGTGTGACTTAGTAGGAGGAATGGTAAAAAAGAAAGAAATTAGGTTTTTTGCTACTTTGCAGCTGTAGATGAAGATGAAAACTTGTAAGACTGTGTGAAAATATTCCTGAGTTATTGGTGTTAAGCGAGTGGCTGCCTCCCTCTCTACATAACAGAAAACCTATGCAGAGGCAGAAAATTTTGCATGCAGAGAGATTTTATACTATGAAAGATAAGTCACCACATTTTTCCTGGCTATGATCAAGAACTGCATTAGACCAGTAAGAAAATGTCTTGAAAATTAAGGGGAGGTTAAAAAGGAGAGTTTAAATAAAAGCTGATAACCATTTGATAGGCATGTTGCCTGCAGTATACAGTTCTGGGAACTACAGTACTAAAGTAGTATTATAAAGCTGTCCCTAAAATTATATTATTTTCAGAATGAAATATGGCCTCACCCCACTGGCAAACTGCTCATCATTTTCCAGTGCGTGGCACTTTTGTTTAGAGCTTGAAGTCTTTGGTACAGACCCTACTGCAGCACAGCTGCGAAGTGGCTGGAGGCGAAGCGGGTGTTGCATATTTCCTGGAGCTGTATTTGGTCGCCAGGAAGTCTAGAAAAAGAAAAAGCAAACAGCTACAAAATCTTTGTATAGTTTCCAAAGCAGAGCAGCATCATAAAGAAAAAAAAAAAATAGCACTGATCAAGATATTTGGAATTGATGAGTGATTCCCAGGTACCTTCAGGAAAAAATTTTCTAGTCTGCCTCCAAAGAGCCAGACCCCTTTAGGCATCTCTAATTGAGTATTCAAAAACTGGAGCGTCCAAAATTACTCTTGGGAATAAATTTAGGTTTTGCTACTGTCTCTTCACAGACTTGAAGCAAACATAATGAACTCATAGAAACTGTAGCAGTGTGCTGTATTTTGACTTCAGTACATGGACACTGAGAGAATGCACGACAAAAGCATGCCTATTTTTGTTCCACTCTTAGCATTTTTCTGACTTTTTTATTTCATCTTTTCCTTTACACCCACATTGAAATGTTAAAACCTAAAAAAATCTATTTAACTGAGTTAGCTCACCATCTTAGAAAAGGCAAGCTCCTTGGATCGGTGTTGATGAGAAGGATTTCCACCATTATAATCAACTACAGGTCCAGGTGCCCTCTGTATGGGACAGAAAGTAAAAGGTCATTCAGGACTGAAAATCTCTCTTCAGTCTGCACCAATTATCATTATTGAAATGGAGAACCACTTAAAACTGGACTATATATTTGACCTTTGACCTTAGACTTCAGTATCATTATATTTCAAGAGTATATTAACATTCCTTCTCTGCCTGTTAACAGCGAGTAAGAGGATTCTGAGCCAGAGCTCCAAAGCACGGCCTTCTGGAAAGAGTTTTAGTCGTACTGCTTCAACTGTTTTCTAAAAGACCTCCACTGCTTGCACGTTTTTACAACATCTGTAAACTTGCCTACAGCCACAGTATTCATTGACAATACTTAATGTATTGATGCTGGCCTAACCTTGGGTAATAAGGCAAAAAAAAGGGAAAGATTAAAGCAGATATATTACAAGCAAAGCTATTTTTTTCTAAGTCCTGATGTGG